TGTGTGTGTGTGTGTGTGTGTGTGTGTGTGTGTGTGTGTGTGTGTGTTTGAATGAAGGGTCTCAGGTTGGCCTTGAACTTGCTTTCTTGTAATTGAGACTGGCCTTGAATTCCTACTTCCACCTGCCAAGTGCTGGGATTACAGACATGATCTATCAAACCTGCCTTTTTTTTTTTTTTACACAAACAATTTAATCTTGACTCATTTGATACTGCAGAATGTAAAACATCTCTGACTTTTTTTTTTCATGGTTGGTCAGCATTTGATTTTATAATCATCGGTGTTTAGAACACCATTCTGCATAAATGGTGTTCTATGAAATGGCACAAGTATGTTGAGGACCATTTTAGAACACCATTCTGCATAAATGGTGTCCTATGAAATGGCACAAGTATGTTGAGGACCATTTTAGGAACTATTGGAAACTCTGTCTTAATCTCATGTCAGAGTCTTTGAACAATCTTTTCCTTATGAAACTCAAGTCAGCAACATAAAACAGTGATTCATGAAATTAAACATTAAAACAACATAATCAAAAAATCCAAAACAAGTTTGACATTTTCATAGTGAAGAATGGTAGGAAAATACTAAATGTATTTGTTTTCCATTGTTTAGTCATATTTCTATAAGCATAAAACTGTACAGTTGAAACACTGTAACATACATAGTCTCTGATCTGAGGCATTTAAGCTTGTATCCAGTGTTGCATAGGGTAACATCATGAGCATCAACGTACATGTGTGTGTTTAGAACCAAGGCTGTAACATAGGCAAATCCTGCCTGAAATGCCTCCCGCTGATTATGTTTTGATGCTCATTAATTTTTTAAACTTTGTGATTTCAGGAACTTTTTAGGCTCGCTACTTTTTTCACAACCCCACATTCAGTTACATGACTCCAATATGTAGTTCCACATGACCCAAAGTTTAAGAGCAGGGAGTTAAGCTACGTAATTTGAGTAGTCTTGATTAACCTTCACATTGTTAATAGACAATGGAATTGTCTATTTGTGATTAAAACAAGCAGCATAGGGCTGACAAGGTGGCTCAGTGGGTTCCCTGCTTGCCAGGGAAGCCTGACAACCCGAGTTTAATCACTGGAACCCACGTAACGGTCAAAGGCAAGAACCAGCTCCCCGTGCACACTCTTAGAAAATGATAATTTTTTTTCTGAATGACTTTAAGCACCCTGTGCCCAATACCATCATTTGTTAATTGCCTTGCTCCTGCTGGAAGGCTTTTACATGACTCTTATTCCCATTGTGTTAAGTCAAGTTTTTGCCAGAGTCAAAAGTGTTTGCTTGGCTTTTCGCTCTTTCAGTTTTGAGCCGCAGAGTCCTGCCAACCGAAAGGTTCCTCTCAGTCAGGCTTCCCAGCCTCTGCTTTGGGTGACTGATAGTAGTTCCTATTATGTATCTTCTGCCTCTACTGAACTTACAGTATTAGTTTTTGTGCCTCCTCGGTTCTGCCCACCCCTTTGTAAATATGGATTATCCAAATTTTGGTGTGCCACATATTTTTTGTTAAGATACCGATGATTTATTGCAGCTCTATCAGTAACAAAACAAACAAAAAACTCATCATATGAAAGTGTCAGCTTATATAAAAGCTAATTTGTCAGTGACGTGTACAAACGAACGACACAAACAGTATTAAGTGGAAAATTAACACAAAATTTTACTAACTATAAACATAGCATACTAAATCTTGAGAATATTGAAAACTCCAGAACTGGAATATTATGATAGATAGATAGATTGAGAGATAGATAGATAGATAGATAGATAGATAGATAGATAGATAGATAGATAGATAGAAAGAAGTATATGTGTAATTGATATGCCATTATATGGTACAGCATTGAAGTATATTTGACTGGCTGTCAACCTCAGGTATCGAACTATTCATGAATAATATGTAGGAATTTGGAAATGCTGAGAAGAATTTAAAAAAAAAAAAAAAGATCTGGGAACAATGTCTAAAAATTTCCCAGTAGAAATTACTCCCAGACCTTCAGGAAGCATCTGCTACATCCTCCTCAGTTACTGCAAATCTTCCCTTAAAATGGGTACACATCCATTGCCCGTGGTAGCTGCAGAAGTAAGAGTTTTAACTTTTCATACCTAGTATATCAACTGTAATTGAGGCAGGCCCCGCAGTCTGTGGGTTGCCTTTGGTGAGGGCTGCTGCCATAGTACACATTTGGAGGTCAAAGAACAGACAGTTTGTGAGCCAGGTGTGGTGGCACATGTGTGTGATCCCAGCACTCGAGGAGGCAGAGGCAGCAGGATCTGTGTTCAAGGCCAGCCTGGTCTATAAAGTGAGTTCAGGACAGTCAAGGCTACACAGGGAGGGAAAAATTGTGGGGGTGGTGGTTTTCTTCTATGATTTGGGTTCCAGGGATTAAACTGAGGTTGACAAGTTTGATGGAAGTTACCTTTTTTACTCACCAAGCCATGTCCCCGGCCCAGTCCACAAGTTTTAATCTCCCCAAGTTACCTTGTATCTGGCAAACTTGTTAGAGTCAGTTTTGTTTCTGATAACTTGGGTGAGGAGGGAGTAAATTCCAGTGTTTTCCAAACACTGTCAAACATGACATCCAAGGAGGAAAAAAAAGTTTACCTCTTTCTTTTTAATCTTATTTCTTACCTGGCATATTAATGTTCAGTAGAAATGAGAAAAGCAAAACACCATGACCTTGTCTCCAGTTTTAGAGGAAAAATGTGAATTTTTAACCACGAAGTCAGCTGACTGCTGTTAACATTTTCTCTGAATGCCCATTTTTAGGTTGAAGTTCACTGTCATTGCTACTTTGCTAAGTATTTTTCTAGCAAAAATTAACTTTTAATTAATTTTTTGGATTAATATTGGATTTTATCAAGTAACTACTGCATTCTTTCCATAACATCAATGTAGTATATTTTGTCTGCCTGTCTCAGTCTATTTGTGCTGCTGTAGTACAATACTTATAGATCAGGTAATTTATAAAGAACATAAATTTACTTCTTCATAGTTCTAGAAGCTAGAGAGCCCCAAATCAGGCACTAGGACTCTGGCCTCTGTTCCCAAGGCCACTACTTGGACACCATGACTTCACACAGGGTAAGGGAGGAGATGACTGTTCTAGCCCTTTTAGAGAATCACTGTTTCCTCTGATGGGCATAGAGCCTCGTGATTTAATCACCTCTTAATGCTATCACTCTCGAAAGTAAGTCTCAACCTGGGCATTTGGGACACATGTTTTGCTTCTAGTATCACCCACTTACCTTTAATCTGCCTGTATATACTCACGGGTTTCCTGCAAAGAACATAGCTTCTGGAAGAGCTGTTCTTACTGCTAGCAGAAGGATAATGCCTTAGCAGAAGGTCTTAGAGATGAACATCGTGCTGCATGGAAGTGGGGTCTCAAGGAGGACATCAGAAAGGTGTGCATTGCAAGTATTTGTGGAATTCAGGGGCTGGGCAGTAAAATTGTTTTACTTCTCAGTTGTTTATTACTTTCCTGTTATACAGTAACAAAAAGACCATTTCATCCCTTTCCCACAGCTGCATAGCAAGTTTTACAGAAGCAAAGGCATCTCTTAATATCTCACAGCACATTATTCTTTTCTTATCTCACCTCTAGGCATTCCCGAGCAAAAGATCAAAGCCCTTAAGGGATGCTTGGGTCCATATTAAGTTTCTTTAGTCATCACAGGGGAACCTATATAAATTGTTACTCAGTCTGAACACTATCATGAATGAAAGAGTTCATTTCTGGGCAGGCAAAAACACAGTGCCATCAGATTAGGGCTGGCTGTCACACCCCCACAACAGTTCTTTTGAATGGTGCCCAAGGATTAATATAGACCATATTGGTTTCCTTTGCTCTTTGTTCCTACTTTTTTATTTTCCGTGTTTTCTGCCCTTGTGATATTTTTAAGGAACTATTTCCGCTCCTTTCTTAGTTTTCTAGCTACATCTGACTTTACATTTTCAGTGGTTGCCCTGGAATTGCATTATACATCAGTTCCAGCATCTATTAATTGAGCTCATCCTTCTAGATAACCCCTTTGTTCGCTTTAACATGGAATAGGTAATTCCTGCTTGCCTCATTAGGTGGTGTTGGGAGTTTTTTAGATGATAACAGCCATCCTTTACTCTATGCTATCCAAATTATTTATTCTGGAGCAACCTTTAGGGTTTTCCCTTGGGTCATTAATCAAAATTGGATCATAGCAATTAACTTCCACATCCTTAGGCAAATCGTGATTAACACTGAAGACGCTGGTTCTCCAAGAGAAAGACGAAGATCCACCAAGCCCTAGATCCACAGAAATGTTTTCCTCGCCTGCACATACCATTTTAGGAGCAAGAAATTAATGTAGATGGTAATGTTTACAAAATATTTTGCCTTAACATTTGCACTTCAGTTTTTCTGGAAAAAAAAAAATTCATTCTGATACTTAAATTCCCACAGGGCCAAATCAGCGAGGGGGTGTGGCTTCCTTGAAAAAGAGCAGCTGCCCTCAGCTGTGTTCACAACCGCCTGGGACCTCATTTACCTCCCTTCCTGTTGCTGCCTAGGCTGTTGACTGCCAAAAGAACGGACCAATGTGGATCATGCCCGTCCTTTAGCAGCGAAAGTGGCATGAGCATTCTTTAAAAAAAATCCCTGTCCTCCCTACAGGAACACATTGGCAGGATACAGTACCTGTTGGGTTGATTTCCAGACTTACTGTTCAAGGCATTTCCCCAGAGGTGTATCACCTTCCAGGGAATTTGTTTCATCTTTGCGCTGGGGGTGGGTGCGTCTTTCATCTTTCCACTGCAGGCATGTGGAAGTCAGAAGACAGCCTCAAGTATTGCTCCTCATTGCTCGGGGGGGGGGGGGGGGCATTCTCATGTTTGCCTCTACTATCCCCACAGGGGCACAGACCCCGTGCCTCTGTCCCTAGTTTACGTGGGCCCTTGGGATTGTGACTCCGGTCTTCACACTTGTTTGGCGCGTGCTTTACCCTGAGCCATCTCCGCAACATGAGTGAGCCTGTACTGTGATAGGGCAAAGGTGAGGTGGAGGGAGAGCTTCCGCCGCCTTCTCAGCACTCTTTTCTCTCACGTGGATCTTACAGTCCTCAAAATAAGCCTCTGCTTTTGCAAGAAGGCCCCAGCTTTGATGCTAACTTAATTGGCTGTGTGGCCTTGAATAAGTTACTTAACAAACCTGAATTCACATTCAGAGATGGGCCGCCGCCGCCGCCCCACCCGCACCCCAGCAGTAAAATAGAAACGTCTTTTCTCCCTACCTATCTTGTACAGAGGAGCAGATGAGAGAAAATTTAAAGCAGTTTTCATCGTAGGGGTGTGACCGATTTATCAGTTGGTGAAGACTGGGGTCACCTTTAAAAAAAAAAATGGTGATGGTGGTGGTGGTGGTGGTGGTGTGTGTGTGTGTGTGTGTGTGGGTATCACAGAGAACTCAGGTCGTCACGCTTGGCTGCAGGTTTCTGAACTAGCTGACCCATCACCACACTGGCTTTTCAAGATGATGATGTTGCAAAATTCGGGTCCAAGAACCAGGCCGGAGAGACGTACATAAACAGACTTGTAAGTTAAAGAGTTCGTGCTGAGTGGCATTCACAACTTGGCGCGGCTGCACGCTGCACGTGCCTGGCTTCCCAGTGCTGTCCTCCCCGGAAGACCCGAGCTGGCTCCTAGGGGGCCCGAACTCTGCCTCCCCCAAGCTCTGGCCTGGAGAGTAGTGCTCCTGAGAGGTCACTTTCTGAGACTTGCTTAGAAATCCAAGTGCAGGAGAGCGGCCACGCCCCAGAGAACCGGCCAATCACCGCTCGCCGCCCCGCCTTTGCCCCCGGCAGAGCGGCTGGAACCATCGCGGCTCCGCTCCCTGGACCGCACAGTCCAGGACCCTGCGCTCCCGGGTGCACTCGAAATGGTGCGTGGCAGGATCTCCCGGCTCTCGGTCCATGATGTGCGCTTTCCCACGTCGCTAGGAGGCCACGGCTCGGACGCCATGGTAAGCGCACGGGCCACAGGGTTCGCGTGCGCGAGGCGAACGCGGGCCAGGGCAGAAGCCTCCCTGAGGAGCAGGAGTAGCCAGCACTTGCCACCCTCTGGGAAGAGGAGTATTCCTCCCTCTCCCCCTTCCCTTTCTCTTCCATCTTCTCCCTCTTTCTCTCCTTTTTCTTCGCCTTAGTTATACAAATAGGATTTTCCTAGTAAGGGGAAAATGCAAAGGACCAAGATCAAAAGGGTTTAGTTGAGTCCCCACCAAGCGACCGCAGGAGAATGAAGCGCTGGCTGAACCCATAGGGGGAGAGGGGGCATGATGGGGCTCTTAGTGATGGAGACCAGAAACTACCGGGCTGGGAATGCGGGGTGATGATTCTATCTCCGCCACAGCGCACTGAGGAGACTCAGCCCTCTCTGCCACCTTTTGCTCATCAATCAAACGAACGTGTTCACAGTCAGGCTGCAAAACCAAGTATCTAGTGACTGCGTGTCACTTGTGAGGACACTCATGTGAAATCGCTATACCTACAAAAGTGATTAGGAAAAAAATTAACCAAGAGTTCTACCTGTGACAGTCTTAAGAGAGGAAATAAAGGAAGGGCATAGATGTGGGCCCCCATCTCGGTGCTGAATGAAGGACTTTGTTAGCTGAGACTGTTAGAGGGACCCTTTCTGCTCGCCTTACCTACTGGGCTGACTTTATAGCCTATAAGGAGATGCGTGGAGTCCATCTCTGGCCTTGACAGCCCTGAGTGCCTTGTGGTGCCTCCTGATCCGCCAGTGAGATACCATACTAGAATCCGAGAGTTGCATTCATGCGGAGTGAGTGTGTGGAAGCAGGCCCAGGATCAAGAAGCAACAGCGTTAGGGAACACCAGTACCTGTCCCCAAGCAAGAGAAATGTGGTCAGGGAGCCATACCCTGGATCTCTAATTTACAGGCTAATGTTTTACCTCCTAAGAACCTGAAATGTCTGATTAAAAACAGGCTTCTCAAAATTAAGTGGATATATTATATACAGAAGAATGTTTTCTATTCTGAGACTTTTAAAAATCCCTGTGTGTTTTTATATGATATTATGGTAAATGGCTGAAAAATCTAATCACAGTCCTTTGTGGACTTACAAGTAAATGCTCATAATTTTAGCAACTTGTAAAATCCAGACACCTCAGTGTATGTGACTATCTGTGAGGTTTAGCAACTGAGTACAAGTTATATAATCTCTTCAAGCCTAGATTTTTCTCATCTGTAAAACAGGTCCAAGAATATTTTACCTTGTGCATGCAGGTGTCTGAAAAGGGCCTTATACAGAGAAGACTCCCAAGAGGAGTTGACTTTAATCATTACTTATTGATGAGAAAACTGAAGCAGAAGGGATTGACATAAACGTGACTTGGAGTGTATGAAATGTTCAGACAAAATGTATTGTATAGGGGAGTTAAGAAATGGAATATATATGGGAGGGTACAAAATGTATAAAGTGTAATTAATAGAAGAAAGAGAAATGGAATATACTTCTGGGTCTCAGTTGGTTATGAGCTCAGGGTGAGGAAAGGTTATGTGTTATCTGTACTGGAAGCTCACAAATACCCCGCATTTCTCTTGGGAGACCGGGTGGATGCAGTATGCTGATTCTCAGGGGCCTCCCTAGTAGAATGTGCTACTTTGCCGTTCTTTTTTTTTTTTTTTCCAGAAAAAAAAAATTTTTTTTGGCCTTTTAAAAAAATTTTTATTATTAGTTACATTTTATTATTAACTGTATCCCAGCTATATCCCGATCCCTCATTCCCTCCCAATCCTACCCTCCCTCCCTCACCTCCTCCCTGTCCCTTTCCAAGTCCACTGATAGGGGGACCTCCTCCCCATTCATCCAATCCTGTTTTATCAGGTATCTTCAGGACTGGCTGCAAAGCCCTCCTCTGTGGCCTAACAGGACTGCTCCTCCCTTGGGGGGTAGGGAGGCCAAAGAGCCAGCCATTGAGTTCCTGTCAGAAATAGTCCCTGTTCCCCTTACTATGGGAAACAAATTGGTTACTGAGCTACCATGGCTACATCCGAGCCATGGTTCTAGGTTATATCCATACATGGTCCTTGGTGGAGTGTCAGTCTCAGAAAAGACCCTGTGCCCAGATATATTTGGTCCTTGTGGAGCTCCTATCCTTTCCACATCATACTAACTCCCCCTTCTTTCATATGATTCCCTGCACTCTGCCGAAGGTTTGGTTATGAGTCTTAGTATCTGCTTTGATATACTGCTAGTAGAGTCTTTCAGAGGCCCTCTGTGGTAGGCTCCTGTCCTGTTACTTGTTTTCTCCTACATCCAATGCACTTTCCATTTGTCTTTCTAAGAGAGGGTTGATCATCCTACCCCGGGTCCTCTTTCTTGTTTATCTTCTTTAGGTGTATAGATTTCATTATGTTTATCCTATCTTATAGGTCTATATGAGTGGGTATATACTATGTGTGTTACTTTGCCATTCTTGATGCTGATGGCTTTGTTGGACTTGGAATACTGGACTTAGCACTCCAGCTATTTTCCAGCACTCAGCAGCAATGAAACTTTCTTGAAAAAAAAAAAAAAAAAAAAAAGACCTTACTGTCCTCAGTGTCTGTGAAAATAAAGATTCTTGCTACAATTTGCTTTGTTAGGAACACAGAACACTCAAGCCTGCCTGTATTTACTAGTTATTGGTTTGTGTCAGCACTCGCCAAATATAGTGTGCTCCGCAGCTGTGAGCTCCTAGCCCAGCTGCTCCTTGACCACCTCCTAGCAATACTTGTGCTTTCTTTTGCTCACTAGGAGCTCCCTAGTTCTTTCTCCCCTGGCCCTAGTTCTCTAACCTCAGCAGTTAGAGGTCTTCCATTGCATCACTTGCGTTACTCAGTAGATGGAAGACAAAATACTCTTGGTCTCTTTTCTGCCTCCAAACTGATCCTCTCATTCTTCTCTGCCATGTCCTGCTAAAACTAATACAGCCCCATGTCCACATTCCTCCCCTTCTAAACTCCTGAGGCTCTCTTTCTATCCCTTCCCCCCCCCCCGAGCCTTCCCATCTTCAAGTCTCTCATTCATTTTTCAGAAATATAATTTAATTTTAGACTTGCTTATTTTATGGATATAAGTGTTTGCCTGTCTGTCCGTATGCGAACCTTGGACATGCCTGGTACCCATGGAGGTCAGAAGAGGGCATTGGATTCCCTGGAAATGGAGCTCAGATGGATGTAAGCTACCATGTAGGTGCTGGGAATTGAACTGAGGCTGACTGGAAGAACAGTGCTCTAACCTCAGAGCCATCTCTCCGGACTATTCAATGTTCTTCTTTTCCAATGGTTATGCCCTGTTTAGAAGAGTCTGAACTTGACAAAATTCATATTTGGCTCCCTTTGTTTTCTGCCCTTGGTCATTTTAATGCTTTTTGCCTGTTTCCTTGTTTTTTGTCTCCTTACTTTCTCTCTAATATGAAATCCATTGTTCTCCTGCTCTTGGCATTGCCTTTGTTATTTCCGCTTCTGGTCCACTGTACCCGCCGCTACTTCCCAGGCTATCTGCAGAGTCATCTGAATCTGTTTCCCTATGCATTCCTGTCTGACTTTCTCTTATTACTGTGCTGTCCCCCTCTTTCCTCTTCAAGTCTTTCCCATCTTATTCTACACTCCCCCTATGATTCCACTGCATGTTTTCAACATCTAAGCCTATCTTTATGCCAAGGCCTTTGTGATTCCATTTCTGGATCTGCCTTCTCACCTCAGGGCTAGTTGCTGTCTAGATGTTTTCTGCTTAATGTTTTTTTGTCTTCATGCTCAACACCATCTAAATCAGAAACCATCACCTTCTATTTCCCACTTCCAACTCCCTACATAAACATTTCCTTCTGGTCCTCTATGATCTTGCTTTCAGTAACAAAGACTCAGAAGCTTCAAGTTATATTTGGCACACCTTGTCCTTTTGACCCTCTCCTAAGGCTTTTATAAAGGATTTCTTTTTCTTATTACTTGAAAAAGCAACACAATCCTGTAATCCAAAAACTGCCATGAAAAGTTTAATTCTTGGAATTTCCCTTTTAGCACCATGCCTTTAATTTCTACTTCAGGAACCTAATGGTTTTTATAAGCCAGGATGGGCACTGTCTTGGTTACTGTTCTATAAAGAGACGCCATGATCAAGGTGACTTAGTCTATGACCGTCATGGCAAGGAGCATGGAAGCTGGCAGGCATGGCACTGGAACAGTAACTGAGAGCTCACACCTGGGGTGCAGCTTGGTGTGAAACCTAAAAGCTCACCCTAACTAGTGATACACCTCCTCCAATTCTACCGCACCCAGTTCTAAACAGTTTACCACTCAACCGTATGAGCCTATCGGGGCTATTCTTATTCAAACTTTTGATCATATACAGGTACAGACTTTTGAATATGTACCAGCCTTTTCCTTGGCTATCCCCTTTATTGCCTTCACCACCGCTGTTATAGTCTTATTCTGTTTTATGTTGCTATAACAAGATCTTCAAGGCTGTGTAAAATATAAAGAAAACAGATTTATGTAGTGTGCAGGTCTAAATGTCAAAGAACATGGTGTCAGCCGCTGCTCAACTTCAGGTGAGGACCTGGTGCAGAATTGTGTCATCACAGAGAAGAAGAAAGAGGAAGCAGGCATATATGCAAAGATCATGATTGTGAGAGAAACCAAGGGAGATAGCCATTTTCTGCCAACCCATTCTCATGAAATGAATCCAGGCTTGTTTGCTTTGTTTTTGAGAGGGGGCCTCATGCAGTCCTTTGCCATGTATCTGAGGATTATCTTAAACTCCTGATTCTCCTGCTTCTATATTCCAAATGCTGAGATTGCAGGCACTCACCACCATACCCAGCCCTTAATCCAGTCTTAAAAGACCTAATATAGTCTCTGCAGAAAGATATTTCTCCTTTCATCAGGCTACAAAGAACTAATTGTCTTTGTAATAGTCAAACAGTTTAGCCTTGAGACTTGGTGGATGTAGCTTCCCTGACAGTTCTAGGAGATGCAGTATTACTGCAGACATCCTATTTCTCTGGCTCTTATAATATTTCTACCCGCTTCTGAAAAATTCACCAAGCCTTAAACGGAGGAGCTGATTGGTGGATGGATCAGCTGGGCTGGGCATCACACCATCACTTGTTTTCTTTGTTTTGATTGGTTAGGGTTTTCTGTGAAGAGAAGTTTCTTTGTAGAGGCCATAGACTGAATAGATTGTACTTATATATTTAAGAGAGACAGTGTGAACAATGATTAAAAAAAAAAAAAAAAAGAGACCAGAGGCTATGAATTTGAGAGAAAACAGGTGAGGTTGGGTACACAGAAGGGGAGAGAGGAAGGAAAGAGAACAGAGACAATGATGTGATCATATTTTAATTTCTAAAACTTAAAACTAAAGACTTATAAGAGCTCCAGACACCTCTAAACACTTTCCATTAGGGATCAAGCTTCTAGTGTAGACAAACTATATTCAAACCAAAGCATTTATTTCACCCATGGTAATCTTTCTTTCTTTTTTATTTTATTTTATTTAATTTTAATTTTTTCTTATTACTTACATTTTATTAACTCTGTATCCCAGCTGTATCCCGCTCCCTCATTCCCTCCCAATCCCACCCTCCCTCCCTCATCTCCTCCCTCCCCCTTTCCAAGTCCACTGATGGGGGGACCTCCTCCCCATTCATCTGACCCTGTTTTATCAGGTATCTTCAGGACTGGCTGCAAAGTCCTCCTCTGTGGCCTAGCAGGGCTGCTCCTCCCTTGGGGGGTGGGGAGATCAAAGAGCCAGCCATTGAGTTTCTGTTAGAAATAGTCCTTGTTCCCCTTACTATGGGAAACAAATTGGTTACTGAGCTACCACGGGCTACATCTGAGCAGAGGTTCTAGGTTATATCCATAAATAGTCCTTGGTTGAATGTCAGTCTCAGAAAAGACCCTGTGCCCAGATATATTTGGTCCTTGTGGAGCTCCTATTCTTTCCCCATCATACTCATGGTAATCTTTCATCCCAGGTTCTTTTCCAGTGCTGGAATGCCTCAGTCCTCCATAAACTGCCTTAGAGTCCAACCTGACCTACCTCTGAGTACATTCATCTGACAATACCCTCTGCCTCTCTTTCATAGCCTGTATCTTTACAGGCTATGGACTGTATTAAGGACTTAGTATGTTCTGCCTGATAATATTAGAGTTTTGGTAATTATGTGCCCTGGCTGTACCACCCACAAGGACAGACATCTGTGTCCCCCTCAGCAACCTATCGTCTCTCACACACAGGCTACACTCAGCATCACATCACCCTGCACTGGACTTGGGTGCCAGCTCAGACCTCCCACCTGTCATTCACACCTCCTACCCTACCTCCCACCTCTGCACTGAATATATGAGAACTTACAGTCTGCCTCCATAAGTTACTCACGCTATGACCTTGGGCAGGTTACTAAGCCTCTTTAAAATCCACATTGCTCATCCCTAAAACAGGAATAATAGCTCCTACTTCGTAAATAGCACTGTGAAGATCAAATGAATAATGTCGAGCCTTTAGAATTTGCTCGGCACAATAATTGTCATACACCGTAAAAGTCATGACTGTGCTAAGTTGTCTTAGAGCCTTATGCGAACACTCTTCTGCATCCTTGTTGTGACTTACATCCCTTAATAATATTTTTAGACCTTCTGCCTGGTTTTTTTCAGTGTCCATATCTGGCATGTCGATACCACCTATAAACTGTCATTTAATTCCAAACCAATGCTATTGTGGACATTTTACTTCTCTGTTGAAAAAAAAAAACAAAAAAAAAAAAACAAAAAAAAACCCTCTTGGATTAGTATTGCTTTCTCTGCCCTTTTGCACATCCCTGTGGTCCTTGCCCCTTGGAGAAAACTCCAAGATCTAGTTCTTCCTTCTCTGTTGGGGTTTGGTCTGGTGCTGTATATACAAATGCTGATTTCAGTGCCTTGATTCCTGGTTACTGCCCCTGCCATGGCATTGTTAGTGTTGAACCAGGTAACCACGTGATGAGAAGGAATGTTCCCCGTTATCCCTGATTGGTTGATAAAAAGGCGTGGCTAAGGTCCCTGGGCTTTGGGTGGGTGGGGGGGACTGGAGAGGAAGAGAGAAGGAAGGAGGAAGCCACCATCGGGTTGATGAAGAAAGAACCACTTGGGCCTGGAGAACGGACTCTGAGAATGACTTGGAAAGGAGCAATCCAGATGAAGAATACAAGCAAGTATTTGGGGATTATGGATGGAAGGTATCTCAGATAGGAATGACTGAAGCAGATGGGATGGGATGTAGGTTGGGAGATAAGAGATAGCGTAAGTGGAATTATCTACCCAGCCCAAGATATCCTAAAGCAATTACAAAATCTAACAAGTGTCAGTGTTTTATTTTATTGTGATAACGGGTTAAATAACACTGCCGTAATAATTATAGGGCCAATAATAAACGTATTTAGCCCGAAACCGCTTTTTGTCACCAACACTTCCCCTTGAACTAACTACTGTGCTAGTTATAACTGACCATGTGTCATCCCTTACACATCTTCTTGACTGGCCCTGGGTTTTGCTCCTCACCCCCACTCTATTATAAATGTCTAGTGATGATACGCTGGAATTTTTTTTTTTTTTAATTCTGCTTCTTCTATATCACCAAGCCACACTGAGTTTCGTAGTCGTTAAACAGTAAAAATTTATCAAAATTGCTGTTTGAAAAGACTGGTCCTTTCTGTATTTAGTCATAGGTTTCTGGCCCCTCCATGAAGGAGCTACTGCAGTTGATGGCTGCTGTAGAGTATTGTAGAAAATATAAGCGGCTAATAATGTTTATTATTGTTGCCTGTAATTATTATGGCAGATTTATTTAACCCGCTGTCAAACACTAAGGGACACAGACACCTGATGGACTTTAGATAAGCCTTATTTTGCCTGGGGCTGGGCAGATATTAACACCCTACACTACCTCGGGATCACCTAGCCCCACATCTCATGGGTAATCACTCCTATGTGGGCTGTTTCCCTCCACAGTTCTGTAAACACTTGCTCATGCTTTTCATCAAGGCTGCTTCTCTCCAGCACCACCAGTCCAGCCGCATATTTCTCTCCATGCTAACCCATGGTGGTCCTGCTTCCTTCCTCTTTCCTACTCTCTGCGTCCAGTGATTCATCTGACCTGTAAATTTTAGCTTTGCCTCTCATTTCTGCCCTGTCCAGATGTGTAGGCCTTTTGTTTAGCCAACCAGGGGTAATTTTGGAGGTAAGGTTACACAGCAACATTTGGGGTGCATGATAGTTTGTTCATAACAAACAGCAAGCGGATCCCAGGGAGTGAAATAATTAACAATCAAATACTAAGCACCAGAGCAGCTGTTATTGTTATTCAATGGGAGGGAGTTATTGTCTTCAATGGTATAACCATCTGTAAGTTACTTACACTCTAATGGATAGCTGCATACTCATGCCCACTCATGGATGGCTCTAGTTAAACTCAGTGGTTCACAAAACAAAAAGAAATGATAGTAAACCATGCCAAAAAAAAAAAAAATGATAGTATAGAGGCGACCTGATGGGAGAAGTGGGGAGTTTATGGGGATGGCAGGAAGATGCGGGGGAGGGTCATTGTGAGCGTGAGTAGAGTGTACTATATGCAAGCACGAAAATTGTCAAAGGATGAGTTAATAAAACATTTTTCGATAGTGGAAAATTAGTGCAGCACAGGGCAGCATGGAATAATTTGTCTTAGAGTTTTGTGTCTTTATTTTCTCCCAGTGGTTTCTGAATGTGAACGGTTGTGTTGTCAGTCTACATAAGCTGCTACAATGGAGAGCTATCCAACTTTATATCTGACTTTTTAAAAAAATTGCATTCATTCTATTATTGGAAATTACTCTCTAAAGTGTTTTAGAAGTGATCCAAATTTTCCGGATTTAAAAATAAACTCAAAACCAAATTTTTACATCATCGCAAACTGGCTTAAGCATGCAGTCATTTGGGTGGAGCTTAGCACGAGGGTATGTGCTCAGCAGGTACCACTCTTGGCTTTCCTCTCTGCTCATCCCCCAAAACTCTGTACACTGCAATTTTGCACTAGTGTAAATCCTCAGGAGCACTTTTCTTCGTTCAGATCTCTTCTATGCTCTCTGGGGTACATCAAGTGTTCCATTATATTGGAGCTCTGCATTTCTATTTCGTTTTCCAGACAGAGTTTCTCTGTGTAGCCTTGGCTGTCTTGGAACTTGCTCTGTAGAACAGGCCGGCCTTGAACTCACAGAGATCCATCTGCCTCTGCTTCCCGAGTGCTGGGACTAAAGGCATGCGCCACCACTGGCCGAATTTCTATTCTTATGTTTGTTGTGGGTTTCTGATGTTTGCATTTTGGGGACTCCTTTTCCTACAGCACACAGACCCCGACTACTCAGCTGCCTATGTTGTCATAGAGACCGATGCAGAAGATGGGCTCAAGGGCTGCGGCATTACCTTCACTCTGGGCAAGGGCACTGAAGTTGGTGAGTTTGAGTTTCCAGATGCTTCATTTTATGTAGATTCCACTTTTACTTTATCTTTCTCTTTATTATTATTTTTTTATTTTTTTAATTTCAGTTTATTTACTTTACATCCCAAAGTGTATGCCCCTCCCTCATCTCCTCCCAGGTCCCCCTTTCTCTGCTCCCTAACCCTTTTCCCTTTCCCCCCATAAAAGAGGAGTCCCTCATATCAACCTTCCCCAGCACATCAAGTCATATCAGGGCTGAACATATCCTCATCCCCTGGGGCCAGGCAAGGCAGCCCTGCCAGGGGGAAGTGATCCAAAAGCAGGCAATAGAGTCCATGTTAGAAACAGCTCCCCTCCTCCACTAGCCAGGTGCCCCAAATGAAGATCAAGCCAGCTATCGGCCACATGTGTACAGGGGGTCTAGAGCAGACCATAGGTCCATTTGATGTCTCAGTCTGGTTCTGTTGGTCTTCTTGTGAGGTTCCTGTCCCCTCCAGGCCCTTCAGTCTTTTCCCCAGCACTTCCACAGGACCCCCGGAGCTCCACTCCATACTTGGTTGCAATTCCTACCAACTGTCTCGATCTCCTACTGGCTGGAGCCTCCCAGACGACAGTCAAGTCAAATGGAGTAAAAATAATGCAACTTGTGTTGCTGGGAGAAACTGAAAAGTACCAGCATTTGGTCTTTCCTCGTATACTCATCTCTAGACTGCTAAAAAAAATCCGTAAATCTGAATCCATTTCCTTGTGTCAATGTGTAACTACCAGAGTATTACCCACTGCTTTTTTTTAATGGAAGAAAAGGTTGTATTTGGCTTCCATATCCTGGGTCACAGACCATTGATGGAAGCTAAGCCAGGGCCTCAAAGAAAGCAGGAACCTGGAGGCAGAAGCTGATGCAGGGACCATGGAGGATGTTGGCTTACTGACTTCTTCCTTATAGCAATCTCAGCCTCCTTTCTAATAGAACCCATGACCAATAGACAGAAGTATATCCAATCACAATAGACTAGGACATTCCTCATTCTTTTTGTTGTTTTTAATTATTATTATTTAGTACAACTTATTCATTTTTCATCCCAGCTGTGGCCACATCCCTCATCTCCCAACTCCGCCCACCCTCCCTTTCTCTTCTCCTCTCATGCCTCTCCCCTACTTCACTACTAGGGAATGTCCTCCTCCCCTTCCATCTGACCTTAGACTATCAGGTCTCATCAGGAGTGGCTGCATTGTCTTCGTCTGTGGCCTGGCAAGGCTGCATCCCCCAGGGGGAGGTGATCAAAAAGCAGGCCACTGAGACTATTGTAGAACTTTGTGAATTAAATGTTGGCAAGTGACTGAGGGAGAGAGAGGATCAGATATGTCATATGTACATATGTTGTATATATGTACAGAGGATCAGATATGTCATATTATACATATGTTGCATGTACAGTATTTCTTTTTTAAATCAGTTTATTTTTATTTTATGTGCATTGTTTTGCCTTTATGTATGTCTAGATGAGGATGTCAGATCCTCTGGACTAGACTTACACAGTTGTGAGCTGTCATGTGGGTGCATGGAAACTCAGGTCCTCTACTAGAGCAGCCAATGTTATTAACTGCTGAGCCATCTCTCCAACCACCCCCACTTCACAGTATTTCACACCAAGTTGCTTTCCAAAGAAATTCTTCGATGGTTCATGCGTAAACATCCCTCTTGTTTTTCTAAAACAAAAGACGGAAAAAGCTAAGTGTAATGTAAAGTTTCTCAAAGCCGGATGAGATCTCATTGGTGATATTAAGCTCCCCCTCATGTTTTAGAGGTGCAAAACCAAGCCCAGACTGGTACTTAGCAGAAGCAGAACTTGATGTCTCAAAGTATTTTCTATTTAGAACACTGACTGATTGATTGATTGATTGATTGATTGTGTGTATGTTCAGGCAGCTTGCATCTGTGTGAGCATATATGTGGAATCCAGGGATCAGCTTCAGGTGTTGTTTTTCAGATCCTGCCCACCTTGTTTTTTGAGACTGTGTTTCTCATTGGACTGAAACCAGAAAGGCCAAGATCGACCTGTTTACAAATGTGCTTTATCACACCCAGCTTCTTCTTACACGAGCTGTGGGGCTTGAACTCAAGTCTTCATTCTTGCAAGACAAGAACTTTACCAACTGAGTCATCTCCGCAGTCCCTCTCTAGAACACTTAAATGCGCCCTTGTGTCTGCATTCCCAGCAGGTACAAGTATAGCACTCAAGAAGTGTAAGGTCACTCTCACAAGATTAGTTCCAACAGATATTTTCAAACAAGTAAAAAAAAAAACAAAACAAAACAAAACAAGTTTACATGTGTGTGCAAATAACAAGGGAAAATTTGTTCAAACTTTCAGTGGATGCCATGAAGTTTTCTCCATTACAGTGTCTCCCAGAGCACCCCGCAGGCCATACATTAGTCATCTTGCAAGTCACTCTACCCTGCACTTGAGTGAAGAGCTGGCAAGTTTTACGTATTCTGTAAGACACTGGAAAAGCGATTTTAAAAAGGAAAAGAAACAGCTCTATATGGGTAAAGCTGCTGCCAACTCTGCCAACTTGAGTTCAATCCCCAGAACCTGTGTGACAGAGGAAATAACCCACTGCAGCAGGTTGTTCTCTGAACCCACAAGCACACATGGCGTGTCTAAGAAAGCAGGGTCCCATACGAGAAGAATGTGTGAACTTGCTGAGGAAACAAACATAAAAGGCACACTTGTAACAGTGAAAATTACTGTTTGTTTGTTTGTTTGTTTGTTTGTTTGTTAATGTAACCAAACTTCACAGAGAAGAGTTTGTTCCCTTACCCAAAAGCTAGGGGAAGGTTTCAGGACAGAGGCAAGTCCCAAGAGTTGAACTTATCTGCTGGGTAAAAAAGACCAGATAAGGATTCAGCAACTCATTCACACATTCCGCTTCCCCCATTAAGTCAAGAGTCTCCTGTCAAAGATGCCCACAAGATAGTGACTGCTGACTAAGGCCAATTTGTGAGCTCTTTCTGTCTTTCCTCAGTTTTAATTATGCCCACTTGCATGCTGAGCATTTCTTGAAGATGCTGTCTCTGTCCATACTGCGTACCATCCATATAGTACAACCCTAGCCCATTTCATAATCTACACAGTGAGCTTAGAAAACCACGGCAGGCCACTGAAACTACTCTGTTAAAAGCAAAGATGTTGAACTTAACTGCCTTTGACAAACGGTGGAGGGACTTTGAGCACTAAGACAGATGAGACAGTTGTACTAAGATGGTACTATCTGCCCCCCACAATCCTGATGGAATTCTTGGGGCAGGGTTATATCAACTCCTATCTCCCTGTGACTTTGTTTACCAGGCAGGGTTTCTCTGTGTAGCCTTGGCTGTCCTGGACTTTGTAGACCAGGCTGGCCTCAAACTCACAGAGATCTGCCTGCCTCTGCCTCCCCAAGTGCTGGGATTACAGGTGTGTATCGCCACACCCAGCTCTCCTTGTGACTTTAATGCATATTTCTTTTGTGCTAATGTTACTGGATTTCAAAATTGCAGACCATATCCAGATAGTATCCATTTAAAATTTGATTTTCCTATGTATTTCACGGGAGGCATAGTGCCACAGTGTTGCATATGCTTGCAGCCAAGAAGAAAATTTTCATTAGCTCAGCATGGTTACTCCTGCAACTTTCTCAACCCATCCATGAAGTTATTATTTTAATAACACCAAAAGCAAGAAAAAAAAGAATTAGTGTGTTCTTCATTATTGACAAGTATGAGTATGTATGTGTGACCAAGAGACAGAGAAAGCATGTTATTTATTAACATAAGAAGTATACCAAAGTCTTTTTGTTGAATTTTTTATTTTTCTTCCCAGCTCATTTTGTAGGAGAAACTCTTGGGTTTAGTCAACAGGAATCTGCCTTTAAGGCTAATTTTTACCATATGAATTTCCCCATGCTGGAGCTCAAACACCACAAACCAAAATTCTATTTAATACAGAAAATTGTAGTTAACTTTTTGCAGCACCTTTGTGTCAAGTAAGAAAAATCCACATACTGTAGATGAATTTTTTTCATTATGGCTTGCTTCACTGTTAGGAGTCATAGAAGTTGAGATCATTGTTAGCTTCTGTTAGATGCAATTGAGGCCAGAGTTTGATGTAGATAATAATATACCTCACTGTGAGTCACTAACATACTCTAGACTTTTGTTTTAATCCAAGAACAACAACCATCAAGGAATGAGGAGAATACTGTGTTCTTGCAGCTTTATAGAATAAATATCCTAACTAGAATGATTATATATTCCATTAACAAAAGCCCTGGAGAACCCAGAATGGCTGGTTCAGTCCTAAACAATATCTTTCAGCAAGTGTATAATCACTGGAAAGCTGTGCTACCCAGGGGCCAGGAACACCAATGTGGTACTGCTTTCAAAATGCCTTCCTCTAGAATATTATTGAGAGTAAAACTGTACCTCTATAACCATCCTATTAAATGACCTAAAGGTTTGCTATGGAATCAACACAACACCAAACACAATCATCAAAATGTTTTGTAATAGGGCTGGAGAGATGGCTTAGCAAAGGCTAGGCTCACAACCATAAATATAAAATGTTTTGTCATAAATTATTGCTTTGGGGAAAAGTAATGATTTGACTATTTTGGTCTTTGACACATGGACTAAATGTGTCTTAGAAAGAACAAAGTCTGGAAAGGGTTTTCATTTGCATGTATTAGACAAGAGTCCTACCATGAGCTCCCTCCCAGGACTTCTTCAAATAACACAGTGAAGCCCTTTAAAGCAGCAAAACAAATAATTGGTGATGATGAGAACCCACATTATGTTTACCCTTCAACCTGTGTATGAAAAATGTAGTAAAAGTCATGGATAAGTTTAATGCTATGATGGCATTTTCAAAGTATGCTACATGAAAATAATTTTGTCCTTGATAGTGTATGTTGTGAATTGAATATCTTTACTTGCCAGTATTTAAAAAATCAGTTTTAAAGTTCCATAAGTCTGGGTGTTCTTATCCTTTCAGAACAATGAACTAGCAAGGTCTGGCTTTGAATCTCATTACCCAACATGTTACCCAGTGAATCGGGAAATAATTTGGGAACAGTATTTAAACTTGCAAGTCTATAATATTGTTTATCAAAATATGTCTGCTGCACACAGTATGTTAACTCCAAGCTGTTGCAGTTGTGTCTACTTCTTAGTTACAATGGTCACAGACACATGTTGAAAGGATTTTACAAAGTATTTGGGGATTTTTGTATTTTAATTATTTCCATAAGATGTCCATATCCATTTGCTTGTGTTATATTGTCTTAGCTTCCTGGCTGTGTATTAAAACATGACTAAGAATGAAATCCTATTTTGATAGTTGTCTGTGCTGTGAATGCCCTTGCCCATCATGTGCTTCACAAGGATCTCAGGGACATTGTTGGGGACTTCAGAGGCTTCTACAGACAGCTCACAAGTGATGGGCAGCTCAGATGGGTAAGGGATATGTTTTGTGCTGTTTTAAAAGATTGTGTGTGTGTGTGTGTGTGTGTGTGTGTGTCTGTCTGTCTGTCTGTGTGTCTCTATGTCTGCATTCATGTAGGCCAGAAGAGGGTGTCAGATCCCCTGTGACTGGGGCCACACGAGTTTATGAGTCACCTGATGTGGTACTGGGAATCTGTTCTCTCATACTCCAGTTCTCTGAAAATTGTCAAGTGCCCTTATTCTCTGAGCTATTTCTCCAGCTCCAGGAATATATTTTATAAAAAGCTTTTATAAATAATGTTTCTACAGTCTATGATGCCCTTTGATTGTAACAAATATAAAAATAGGGGATTTTCAGTTTTTTCATAAACAATTTTATTTAGTTAAAGCTTGAGCCATTTAGATCATCAACATTTTGAAATAGGCAGGTTTTTTTCTATGAGACTTGAATCTTAATGCATTTGCATATCAAGAAATCCAGCTATTATACACCACACTGCCCTCTGTCTGGATTGGAAAAAGTCCAGCCAGGCCTATGGTAGTGGCTTATGCCTATAATCCCAGCATTCAGATAGTAATCACCATGGGTTTGAGACCAACTTGGGCTTCAGAATAAGAACCTGTTTCAAAAGGACAAAATAAAGAGGCCTAGAAGATAAAACTTCAAATGAGCAACCCCTTGGGAGAGGGTATAAGTGGTACTGGCCTTGTAGGAGTAGCTAGTAGGGTAGAGGTAAACTAAGAACCTAGAGAGCATCATGCTTTCATGTTTGTAGGTCAGCATCTGAATCATAAGGTCGAAATATGAAAAGGTTAAGTTCTAAAGAAAGGACTCTAACACAGGGAGATAACTCTAGTAATTTACACTTTTTTCTGTGTCAGGGTACCAAGGTCCTCTTTCTAACTCTGTTCAGTTTCCTTTCCATGCAAGAGAAAGGCACAAGGGAATACACTTTCTCTGTTCCCTTGGTTTGTATTTTTAACTACATTAAAAAGTAAGTTAATTAAATTAAAAAGTAAATTAAACATGCCTTGACAAGTATCACCTCGAAGAAGCTCCCATTAGCCAAATTTGGAACAATTTGAACATGAGAATAAATAGGATAATAATGGCGTATAATTCTTATAATATAAAGATCCATGAGTTTGTTCAGGCAAAAAACAAGGGAAACTTCATTATCAATAGAATGTAACCTAATGAGTATGAGGCCAGTGATGTCATCATGAAATCACCATGCTGCAGCCTGGTGGCACAGGATTTTAATCTCAGCACTCAGGAAGCAGAGGCAGGTGGATCTCTGTGAGTTTGAGGACAGCCTGGTCTACAGAGCAAGTACGAGAACAGCTAAGGCTACACAGAGAAACCTTGTCTCAAAAAAAAAAAAAAAAAAAAAAAAAGGAGGGAAGGAAGGAAGACAAAACCTACACTCTCAGAAGTCGGGAAGCTGGGTGGGAGGATCGTAAGTTCAAGGCCAATCTGTGTTTTACATAGTAAAGACCTTGTCTTCAAAACAAGCAAAAAAAAATAGACAGCAGTGGAACCTCAGTTTCTGACCCACAGCAAAGTTGCAAAAGTAGAAATAAAAAAACCCAAACTCCATCTGCCTCCCTCCCCACCCTGCACACATTTAACTTTCTCGGCTATCTGAAAGCAGGGTTGCCGCTATCCTTTTTTGTAATCATAAATACCTCTGTGTGCATTCCCTAAAGACTAGGACCTTCTCCTATATGTGTACTCACATGATCATATTCAGGAAATATAATATTGATGGACTATTACCTAAAAGATGGCCCATAATCAAATCTCACCAACTTTCCCAATAATGCTCTTCTTTTTGCCCTGACTCATCCAATAAGGGACCACATGGTGCATTCAACTGTCATTTAGTCTCTTTCATGTAAAATTGTTCTTACTTCTTTGAGTGACATTGTCATTTTTTAGAGCCTGGGCCTTGGCTTTTCTGGTATCCTTCAATATGGGGTGGTAAGAATAAATTACGTAAGTGATGATGGTATCTTGCCTTATAATCAGGATTATTAAATTACACTGCTTTAGTAAGTTTGTTCATTTGTTTTCTTTACTATGAAGTTAGCATTTTTCTTTTCCAAGTAAGTATACTTCTACCCCAGATTTTAGGATTGCTTATGACAACTACAGTATGGTAATTTCTTTCGTTCTTTTTCTTTTTGTCTTTCTTCCTTTCTTTCTGTTTTTTGTTTGTTTGTTTGTTTGTTTGTTTGTTTGTTTAAGACAAGGTTTTTCTGTGTAGCCTTAACTGTCCTGGTACTTGCTCTGCAGACTAGGCTGTCTTTAAATTCTCAAAGTGTGTCTCTGAAGAAAACGCAGATATCTTTTCTCATCTAAGACAAGATCATTGTGCTTTGCTTCCCAACCAGCTTGGTCCAGAGAAAGGAGTAGTGCATCTGGCCACAGCAGCCATTCTGAATGCTGTGTGGGACCTGTGGGCAAAGCAGGAAGGAAAGGTAATGATTTCAGAGCACATCTGTGGCTACAATTCAAGATTCATAACTACTTAGCCATTTGGTAGAGCAGGGCCAAGGAAAATGGGGAAAGGGACAACAAGCTAAAGTAGCAGTTTGGGGTCGCAGGACTCGCAAGGAGCATTGGGGATGGGGTGGGAAATAAGCCAGGTGTCTGTGGTCGCAGCCACCACTAATGCATTCACGTCAGACAAAAATGATTGCCTTACACGTGTTTTACAAGTCTTTTCTCTTTTTCAATCAAGCCCTTATGGAAGCTACTTGTGGACATGGTAAGTAGAGTCTTTACCATTATAGTTATTTCTAAAGGAAATACTTTGTGGATTACCTGGCTTTTTAAGTAATCAGAAAGAATATTCAGGACTCGTCTGATGATCATTGGTTATAGAGTAAATGAACATAAAGAACATTACTTTTTTCTATGATGGGTGTGAGCCCAAGCCCTTGCATTGCTAGGCAAGCACTCTACTGCTAACCTGTGTTCCCAACCCATAACATTATCTTTCTGATAATTTGAAATAGCAGATAACTGTGCTCATGTGGGTAAACAGGTAGGGATGTGAGGCAGTGAGTTCAAGTCCTGACCTCTTCTGAAGGGTCCTTGCAACATCATATGAGTTTTGAACTCTTGCTATTTGAGAAAACCATCAGAACCATTAGGAGCCTCAGAATCAGTTTAAATTCCTTAAATATCAAATGAGAAGATGACTCCATAGATTTTTTTTAAAGCCACATATTATTACTAGGATATCTTTTTGTTTTATTTTTTGTATATTTTTTCTTTTTAAATTTTAATGAATTAATTTCTTCTCATTACATCTCTGTTGTAGCCCCCTCACTCAGCTTTTTCCAGTCCCACCCTCTCTCCCTCTTCCCTCCTCTCCCCTCTATTCTCAGATAAGTGGAGCCCCCCCCCCCCCCATCCAGCCTAGCCCATTAAGTCAAATCAGGACTGAGCTCATCCTCTTCCCCCGTGGCTTGGTGAGCTAGCCCCACCATGGGAATGTGATTACAAAGCAGGCAACAGAGTCCATGTCAGAGACAACCCCTGTTTCCCTTACTAGGGAACTCATCTAAGGCCTGAGCTGCCCATCTGCTACAACTGTGTAGGGGCCAAGGTCCAATCTACGCATGATCCTTGGTTGGAGCTTCAGTCTCCACAAGGCCCTCTGGGCCCTGTTTAATTGGCTTTGTTGGTCTTTTGTGGAGCTCCTGGCATCTTCAGGTTCTTCATTCTGTCCTCCTACTTTTCCACAAGACTCCCTATATTTTACCCAATGTTTGGCTGTGAGTTCAGCATCTGTTTCAGTCTCCTGGGTATATCCTTTCAGAGGAAAGCTTTGCTACTCCCTGTCTTGTTCCCTCTTTTCAGTCACTTCTACTGTCCATTCTATATCTGCTTCTGAGTGAGATTTAAGCCCTTGGATCCTCCTTGTTACTTATCTTCTTTAGGTTTATGAATTGTAGTATGTCTACCCTGCACTATATGGCTAAAATCTGCTTATAAGTGAGTACATACCATGTGTCTTTCTGGGTCTATGTTACCTCACTCAGGATGCAAATTTCATGATTTCCTTGTTTTTAATAGCTGAGTAGTATTCCATTATGTAAATGTACCACAATTTCTTTATCTATTCTTCAGCTGAGGGACATGTAATATAGGTTGTTTATATATTCTGGCTACTATGAATAAAACTTCTATGAACATAGTTGAGCAAGTGTTCTTGTTGTATGGTGGAGCATCTTTTGGGTATATGCCTAGGAGTGGTATAGCTGGGTCTTTAGGTGGAGCTATCCTCAATTTTCTGATAAGAGCCAGATTGATTTCCAAAGTGGTTATACCAGTTTGTACTCCCACCAGCAATGGAGGAGTGTTGCCCTTTCTGCACATCCTTGCCAGAATGTGCTGTCACTTGAAATTTTGATCTTAGTCATTCTGAGCAATGTGAGATGGAGTCTCAGAGTTGTTTTGATTTGCATTTCCCTGATGACAAAGGAAGTTGAGCATTTCTTTAAGTGCATTTCCATCATTTGAGATTCCTCTGTTGAGAACTCTCTGTTTAGCTCTGTATCTCATTTTTAATTGGGTTATTTTGTTTATTTGTATTTGATTTTTTGAGTTCATTATATATTTTGGATATTAGCCCTTTGTTGGATGTAGGATGGTGAAGATCTTTTCCCAATCTGTAGACTGTTGTTTCATTCTATTGACAGTGTCATTTGCCTTATAGAAGCTTTTCAGTTTCAAGAAGGCCCATTTATTAATTGTTATTCTTAGAGCCTGAGCTGTTGGTGATCTGTTCAGGAAGTTGTCTCCTTTGCCAATGAGTCCAAGGCTCTTCCCACTTTCTCTTCTAAGAAATTTAGAGTATCTGGTGTTTATACTGAGAGATTGTTTTAGCTATTCTGGGTTTTGTTTTGTTTTTCCATATGAAGTTTAGAATTGTTCTTTCAAGGTTGTTAAAGAACTGTGTTGGTATTTTGATGGGGATTGCACTGAATTTGTAGATTTCTTTGGGTACACTGGCCGTTTTTTACTGTGTTAATCCTACTGATCCATGAGCACAGGACATCTTTCCATCTTCTGATATCTTCTTCAATTTCTTTCTTCAGAGACTTGAAGTTCTTGTCATACATGTCTTTCTCTTGCTTGGTCAGAGTTACACCAAGATACTTTATGTTATTTATGGCTACTGTGAAGGGTGTAATTTCTCTAATTTCTTTCTCAGCCCATTTGTCATTTGTATACAAGAGGACTACTATTTTGGGGTTTTTTTGTTTTTTTTTTTAATTAATCCTTGATCTCTTTTAGTTGTCTTATTGCTCCAGCTAGGACTTTAAGTACTATATTGAAGAGATACAATGAGAATGGGCAGATTTGTCTCATCCCTGATTTCAGGGGATGGCTGTAAGTTTATCTCCATTTAATTTTATGTTAGCTATAGGCTTGCTGTATATTGCCTTTAGTGTGTTTAGGTATGTGCTTTGTATCCCTGTGAAGAGGTGTTGGATTTTGTTGAATGCTTTTTGGCATCTAATGAACTGATCATGTAGATTTTGTTTCTTTCAGTTTGTCTATATGGTGGATTATGTTGGTGGGTTTTCATATATTGAACCACTATGCTAGCCTGGGATGAATCCTACTTACCATGTTGGGTAATATTTTTGATGTGTTCTTAGATTTGGTTTGCAAGTATTTTGTTGAGTATTTTTGCACCAATGTTCATAAGGGAAATTGGTCTGAAATTTTCTTTGTTGGTTTTTTGTGTAGTTTACGTATCAGAGTGACTGTGGCCTCATAGAATGAGTTTGGCAATGTTCCTTTAGTTTCTATTTTGTAGAATAGTTTGAGGAGTATTTGGTATTAGCTCTTCTTTGAAAGTCTGGTAGAATTCTGTGCTGAAACCGTCTGCCCCTGGACTTTTTATGTATGGGAGACTTTTGCTGACTGCTTTTATTTATTTCCTTAGGCATTATAGGACTATTTAATTTGTTTACTTGATCTTGATTTAACTTTGGTGAGTGGAGTATATTATCCATTTCATTTGGATTTTCCAATTTGTCGAGTACAGGCTTTTAAAGTAAGACATTATGATTCTTTAGATTTTTGTCAGTATCTGTTGTTATGTCCCTCTTTTCATTTCTGATTTTGTTGATTTGGATAGTGTCTCTCTGTGTCTTAGTTAGTTTGGATAAGGGTTTGCCGATCTTGTTGATTTTTCTCAAAGAACCAGCTTTTGGGTTTTGTTGATTCTTTGTATTATTCTCTTTGTTTCTGATTTTTTATTTCAGCCCTGTGTTTGATTATTTCTTGCTGTCTACTCCTCTTCAGTATGTTTGGTTCTTTTCTCTTTTTCTAAAGCTTTCAGGTGAGTTGTTAAGTTGCTAGTATGGAATCTTTCCATTTTTTTAAATGAAGGCACTTAGTGCAATGAACTTTCCTCTTAACACTGCTTTCATTGTGTCCCATAAGTTTGGGTAAGTTGTGCCTTCATTTTCATTGAAGTTTAGGAAGTTGTTTAGTTTCCATGACTGTGTAGGCTGTTTCTTATGTCTGTTGTTGTTGAAGTCCAGCTTTAATCCATAGTGATCTCACAGAATACAATAGGGTAATTGAATTTTCTTGTGTTAGTTGAGGTTTTCTTTGTGATCGGCTATATGGTCAATTTTGGAGAATGTTTCTTGTGGTGATGAGAAGAAAGTATATTCTTTTGTGTTTGGGTGAAAAGTTCTGTAGACATCTATTAGGTCCATTTGACTTATGTCATCTGTTAGTTTCATTTTCTATTTAGTTTCTGTCTTGATCTTCCCATTGGTGAGAGTGTGGTGTTGAAGTCTCTCACTATTAATGTGTTGGGATCAATGTGTGATTTAAGCTTTAATGTTTCTTTTACAGATGTGGACACCTTTGTATTTGGGGCATAGATGTTCAGGATTGAGATGTCCTCTTGGTTGATTTTTCCTTTGATGAGTATGAAGTGTCTTTCCTTATCTCTTTTGATTAATTTTGATTGAAAGTATTTTATTAGATATTAAAATGGCTGCTCCAGCTTTTTTCTTGGAAAATCTTTTTCCAGTCCTTTACTGTGAGGTAATGTCTGTCTTTATTGCTGAGGTGTGTTTCTTGTATGCAGCAGAAGGTTAGGTCTTGTTTATGCATCCATTCTGTTAGCCTGTGTCTTTCTGGTGGAAAGTTGAGTCCATTGATATTGATAGATATTAGTGACCAATGATTGTTATTTCCTTTTATTATAGAGTTGGTAGTAATAGTGTGTTTGTGTGCTTGTTTGTTTTGCTTTTGCTGTTGTGAAGTTGTCTATATCCTGTGTTTTCTTGGGTGTAGTTGACCTTATTGGGTTGGAGTTTTCCTTCTAGTATCTTCTGTAGAGCTGGGCTGCTGTATAGATATTATTTAAATTTAGTTTTGTCATGGAATATCTTGTTTTCTCCATCTATGGTGATTGAAAGTTTGGATGGATATAGTAGTGTGGGTTGGCATCTGTGGTCCCTTAGAGTCTGAATGACATCTGCCCAGGGCCTTCTGGCTTTCATAGTCTCTGTTGAGAAGTCAGGTGTGATTCTGATAGGTCTGCCTTTATATGTTACTTTTTCTTTTTCCCTTGCTGCCTTTAATATTTTTCTTCGTTCTATACATTTGATTATTATGTGGTGGGAGGAAATTTTTTTATGGTCCAATCTATTTGGTGTTCTGGAAGCTTCTTGTATGTTTAAAGGCATCTCTTTCTTTAGGTTGGGGATATTTTCTTTGAAAAATATTTTCTGGTCCTTGGAGCTGGGAATCTTTTTCTTCTATTTCTATTATTCTTAGGTTTTATATTTTCAAGGTGTCTTTGATTTCTTGAATGATTTGTGCCAGGAATTTTTTATTTAATATTTTTGACAGATGTATCAATTTCAATTGTATTTTCTATGCCTGAGATTCCCTCCTCCATCTCTTGTATTCTGTTGGTAATGCTTACCTTTGTGGTTCCTGTTCTCTTCCTTAAGTTTTCTGTCTCCAGGATTTTTTGAGTTTGTGTTTTCTTTATTGGTTCTATTTCTATTTTCAGGCTGTGAACCATTTTATTCATTTCCTTCACCTGTTTGATTGGGTTTTCCTATATTTCTTTAAGTGCTTTATTTGTTTCCTCCTTAAAGTCTTCTATTTGTTTATGTTTTCCTGTATTTTTTAGGGATTTATTTGTTTTCTCTTTAAAATCCTCTACCAGCTTCATAAGCTTTTAAGGTTATTTTCCTGTGTTTCAGCTGTGTTAGGATATCCAGAGCTTGTTGCCACATTGCCCTGGTTTTGTTGATTGTGTTCTTATGCTGGCCCTTAGCCATCTGGTTATCCCTAGTGTTGGCTTAAGGCCTTGGTTTGTTCCTGAAAGCTGCTGGGCTTCTCAGGCATGCCCTAGGTCATGGGCAGGGGGCGGGGATGGATCTTCTCAGGTAGCCTACAGCTCTTCTCTGCTGGTTTTGTGTCAGTTAGACCTATAGGTGGGGAATTAGGCTGTGGGTTTCTGACTTGTGTGATTCTGTGAGGTCCTGCCAGTCTCCTCGAGACAGCTAGTAGAGCCATGAATCGCAGGCTGGATCTGCATGTCTCTGGAACCCGGAGTCCTGTCAAGGGTGGCAGAATCAGCTGGGGGTTCTGAGGGCAAGTCTGGCCTCAGGTCCTCACCTTTCTCCAGGGAAACACCAAGGGTAGCTGGCATTTTGGAGTTAGCAGTGTAGGGCTTGGTATTCTGCACTCCTCGTTGTCAGACTCCTCTGGGCACCACCATCTTGGATCAGGGACCCTGTATGCTCCTATTGTCCAGCTGGTTGCTACAAAGGGACCAGTAGAACTATGGACCAGAGGCTGAGACCCTGTCTCTGGTATCAGGGAGGTGTTCTTGGGTAGGTAGGAGGAGGCTGGGGTCTGGATGCTGGAGCTGTGCGTTTGGAAATCTTGTGCAAGTAGGTGGCAGAAACCAGGTGCTGGGAGCCTTGGACTATGTGTGACTCTTGGAGCTGGGAGTTGCCCTAGGGGGTCCTTGGCTCCTGGGATGCCTCCTACCATTTGAGAAACAAATGTTGTGTTTTGGAGTCAAGAGCCAGGTTACTCACTTGGCCTACAGTCTTCTGATCTTCTGCTCCTCAGATATGGTATGGTACTCAATGGGTGCCACCACCTTGGAATGTCCTTGCTAAGACATCTTTTGGCCACTTTAATTCTAAAAGCATGATCAAGTCATGCCAATTTTCCACTGTGAAGTTCCATCAGGTCAGCAGCTTAATACTGAATTACAAAGACAGTTTTCTGGTTTCTTTCTGTGACCAATATTTGTAGCAGGAATGAGCACTTGATTGCTAAGGAGGATTTAAAAAAATTCTTTGTGCTATTTTAAGACCCAAGTAGACCTGATTTTCAGTCCAGGCTTCATTAATGAGTAGTTGAGTGACTCTGAGCACGTTCCTTATCCACTGTTGGTGGCAGCTGACTCCAGGTGATTTCTGAGGGCCCACACATAAAAGCCCTTTTTATTATTTGACAGCAAATGAAGGAAAATCAAGGAATGGCCCTTAAAGGTTTTTGGGCTAGGAGACTTTGCCCAGATGGACTCAAGATGCTCTCACTGCTCCCTTAAGACAGGCTGAGAGAAGAATGGGGACCATCTGAAGGGAAGGGTATTGGAAGGGTATGGTTTATAGTCATGAAAATATTTTGGAGTCCAGCCAAGCATAGTGATGAGTGAGCGTGAAAGAAAATTCCTAGAGCATGGCCAACCTTCTTCAGGAGAATTAGTGCGCCCTGTCCTCTTGTCAGTAAATCACAGTCTGTGAGGAGATGGCCGCAGTCGCACTATGGAGAGTGTTGGGCCCAGGGCTGCCCTTAATGGCCTGTGAAAGCAGGCTTTCATGAACTGTGCTGTGCTGTTCCAGGACTACCTTCATCATCTCACAGTTCAGTGAAAATTCAGCATGGCAGGTAGAACAGACTTAGAAAGGGGCTCAAGGAACTCTACTCCTTTACTTTGTGCTGAACCTTCACTGGGTCCTCTGGCCAAGAAATCAGGTTAATTGGAAAGAACAGGGCAGTGGCAGGAAGTAAAAGCTAAGACAGAAGGGACTGAGGGTCTGAGGGCTTGTTAAGGGCAGTGCAGTGAATTTCTGAAATGTTCACTACTAAGGAATGTATATAGGATGAGACAGACAAATTCCAAAGATCCCTTCCTGGAAAGGATAAAATCATGAGGTCAGTGTAAACATAGATTAATAATCTGCCTATGGATTGATCTGGACTTTTCTCCTCCTACTACCAGGATCCAAAGGTGCTGTTGTCCTGCATTGATTTCAGGTACATCACTGATGTCTTGACGGAAGAGGATGCCTATGGTGAGTTGTGTGTAAATCATGGGTCTGGAAGTACCTTGGTACTTACCAAGGAATGTACCCAGCAGATGGAGCCTTGGTTTTCTTTTCTTTTCTTTTTAAATATTTATTTATTTATTATGTATATACAATTCTACCTTTCATGTAAGCCTGCACATCAGAAGAGGGCACCAGATCTCATAATAGATGGTTATAATCTACCATATGGTTGCTGGGAATTGAACTCAGGACCTCTGGAAGAACAACCAGTGCTCTTAACCTCTGAGCCATCTCTCCATCCCCAGACCCTGTTTTCTAAATGAGTGATTTATGCTCTTTCCTCCCCTCCAGAAATACTGCAAAAAGGTCAGCTTGGTAAAAAAGAAAGAGGTACGTTGTGAGAAAATGTGCTTTTCTGTTTGTGCTATCAAAGTTTACTTTTGAACAACCCTGTCTCCTGAGGTGCACAGGGTGCTCCCAGGTTCCCTGTAATGGACATTAGATCCTCAGTCATACATGTAAATCTGGGAGAAGAGGCCATCTGGTGTGACTTGGCTCCAGGGCTCGAGCCAGCAGCAGTTCGGGGAGGTTTGGCTTTTATGTTGCACCGTGGCATAGGGAACTTCGAGGAGCAGGGCATTCAGTGACTGTCCTCACTGTCGGAGCCTGACACACTGGGAGGTGGACTGATGGCAGTGAGTATGGAAGGGGCACCCAGGAGAACAACCAGCTATCCTTTAGGGAACCATTTATCCCCAGGCAACTCTAATTCTGGAGTTCCCTGGAAAGTGCCAAATGTTCTAAGAGCTGTGTTTTCCAGAGGAACAAATGCTGAGACATGGTTACCCCGCGTACACCACATCGTGTGCCTGGCTGGGGTATTCAGACAGCACACTGGAGCAGGTAAGCTTTGAGACCTGGCCTTGCAGGCAGGCCAAAGCAGGAGAAGCAAACTAGTTCGTGTATATTTCACACCACTATACCTGCCTCTGACACCACATAAGGGGGTAAAACACACCACACACACACACACACACACACACACACACACAAACTGACCAGTCCCCTTGGACAACAACTGGGTGCCCTGTAGTGTAACTCAGTTTCCAAGGACTAATCTGTTTCACTTGCCAATTGTGCAAATCCAGGTTATCACCTGAGTTTATGACCTACAGCAGCTAGAACGCAGGTTTCTACAATCCAATACCCTGAGTTTTATTATTCACTAGAATAGCTCACAGAGCGCTTGACTTACGTTCACCAGTTTATTATAAAGGGTGTAACTTAGGAAGATCCAAGTTAAGTGGGTCCACGGAGTCTCATGTTGGGTTCTGGAAGATGATAGCCTGGTTTTGATTCTTTGCATGTGTAACACTGGCAAGTCATTTAACCACACTGAGCCTCAGTTTTCTCTCTGTAAAGTAGGAAAATGCCTCTCTCTCTCTCTCTCTCTCTCTCTCAGTTTTTTGAGCCAGGATTTCTCTGTATAACAGCACTTGGTGCCCTGGAGCACATTCTATAGACCAGGCTGGCCTTGAACTCAGTGATCTGCCTCTGCCTCTGCCTCTGCCTCCGAAGTGCTGGGATTAAAGGCCTGTGCCACCACCACCTGCCTAATACCCCATCTCTTATGGGACATTCATACTGTATCCTCCTTTCAGGAATGTTAAGACAATTAAAGGAATGGTTCCCATAGAGATAAGGAAAGAAAGCTACTTCACAACTAGAGTGATACTGTTTGCCAAACTACTTCTATCTTTAAACAACACATGCTTATTCCTCTGGTTTGTACTACAACCATAATGTTAGTGAAATCAAGATAAGAAACCACTGAAGTACTATCAGGCCAGGGGAACATGGTACGTGATGCCAATATGTAATGAGAGATGCACCCCTTTCCCCACAGCGCTGCGCAGAAGCACTGAAAGATGGCTGGACCAGGTAAGCTGTCTACGTCATGGGGACTTGACCTTCTTAAGTCACTAAGAGGCTGCATATGGGAAGAGGAGCCAAAGATTAAATCCCACCAGTGATGCCTGAAGCAACTAGCTTAGTGTGTCAGTGCACAGACATTTCAACCTAGGCTAGGCATATCCTCTCTACAGACACGGTGTGAATCTCCTTAGAATTTTAGAATATCACTTATGCAAGAGACTTTGGAAAACATCGGCTTCAAACACCCATCCAAGATACAAATCCATTCATTTGTGGTGCAAGGGATCAACCCTGGAGCCTCGTACACATCAGGCAATTGTTCCACTGCTGAACTCCAACTCCATCCAGGATCTCGATTTTAACAAGACCCATCCGTTATTCCTTATTTACATAAGCAAATTTGAGAGACACTAAAACCTTGTCAACCCCTTAGCCAAACAGAGTGGTAACATTAAGGAGACAAGGAAAAGGCTTTTGTATCTTGATAGAATTAAAAAAAAAAAAAAGCCACATTTGATAAAAATTATTACAAGGTGAATTTGGAGCAGATGTTCCGTGAGGACTAGTCTCTACCTGACCAAGAAGAGGCTGATGAGTCAACTCTGTGGGGTCAGAAAGATTTCTGGACCTCAGCACAAGAAGTGTGCAGAGGCTATGGACAGCTACTTCCAGTTCTCTCCAGTACCAAAAGTCCTGCAGCTGAAACTCCCACCTAGAGTAAAAGTATCTCTGGGTGTTCATTATGAATAAGAAAAAACAAGACAGTGGGCACCTGAGTATGTTTGTCCTTTTTAAAAAAAAAAAAAAATGTTTCTAGTTGAAATAAAATTGTATCACTTTCCCTCCCTCCCTTTCCTCTAGTTACCTTCCTGCTAGCCCCTACTCTCAAGTTGATACACTCCTTGTCCTTATCATTGTTATATACATACATATGTATGTGTATACACTAATATATATATATATATATATATATATATATATATATATATATATATATATATATATATATATATATATATAATTTCAAGGTTGACTACTTGGCATTAGATAACCAATCAGGGAAGAGGCTGGTCTTCCTTCTTATAGTCATTTGTTGCTTGTAGTATTTTTTTTTTTTATAGGGGTGGGTGAGACCCTGCAAATTTTTCCTCCTTCTATGTTAAAATGTCTCTTGATTGTTCTGGTCTTGTTTCTTCAGTTGTTTCTTCAGTCATTTCTAGGAGAGACTTTCATAGTAGACTTTCTGCAACTTACAATCTTTCTGTCCCTTCTACCTAGATGTTTCCTGAGACATTAATGCATGAGCTTTAATGTATAGTATCCTTTGGGATCATGGTCTCCCCATTATCTCTTAATTTTTACATTGTGTCCAGTTGTGGTTTCTGTGATTGTCTCCATTTGCTATAAAGATCCTCTCCTTTGATGAGAGTTAGTAACTACAACTATCCAGGGAAGGTGATTCCTGTGCCTGTGTGAAGCTTTTATGAGTGGAATGGGCCTTTTAATAGACAGGAAGATTGGGCATTTTGAGGAGTAGAAGAGCTAGGTTCTGTCTGCAGTGGCAGCCTAAAGCCATTGTGGCTCCCACGCACAGCCTTGAACAGATAGATGCTTGTGAGGGAGAAATTGGATACCAGTCCCTTAGGATGATATTCTCTCTTCCACTAACAGTGCCCACACTGGATCAACCACACTCCAGCAGAGTCACAAGGAACATATATAGCTGCCTGTGTCTCAAGAACATAATTGGACATCAAGGCAGATTGGGGGTTTGAGGGCTCCTGGTGAGTGGCCAAATATGCCGCAAAGGAGACCTCTACAGGAAACTATAGACCACATACTCTTGTGCTTCTCTTTGTGACCAAGTCCTTTTCCTTCCCTGGAGCCCCTCACCATAAGGAACCATATGGACTCACTGGAGACAAAACTTTCTGTGCAAATAACTAGCAAATGTATGGGCTTTGTCAACCCCATTTGCCTCTGCCATTTGGACCTGTTTGTTCTTACCTGTTTGGCATAGCAAAATTTCAGGGAGCTGTACTAGAGGTGCAGCTTCTCTTTCCAGTTCCTTAATTGTGGGTCAGTAGATAATTGAGAGTCATCGCCCTGATCCTGAATAAAGAGATCAGGTTGGAGCATTATTATCAAGTGACTTGTCTAAAGTTTTACTGGGAAGAGTTGAGGTTACTAGAAAACACAGACTGTGAATGGCTCACAGAGTCATTTGTGCAGAAAATCCAGGTGTTCTTGCCAAGTTAGAGACCTGTCTAAACTAAATGTATTCATAGGTTTAAAGTAAAAGTTGGGGCTGATCTCCAGGATGACATACGAAGATGCCGTCTCATCAGGGACATGATCGGACCAGAGAAGACTTTGGTAAATACATTCTCACAATATTAAAACATGGAAACTTGATGGAAGTTTTGTTTTTTTTTGTTTTTTTTTGTTTTTTTTAATTTTTGGTGGTACTGTGAATCTAACTCAGGGTTGTGTCCATGTTAGATAAGCACTTTATCACTGAGCTATGGTATTCACCCCAAGCCTGAAGCCTTTTGTTTCAAGCAAGGATTAAGAACATGGACATTTTTATAATTTATGGTGGTCATGTAATAGGTGAACTCTCTTAAAAAGCTATAGGATCTGATCAGTTTTAGTTTTATAATTCTGCAGAGCCAGTTATTTCTAATCAGAGCAAGAGATCATTGTTTTTGTTAATATGTGTGAGCCTGAACAAATAGGCTTCCATTGGTACCACCCTGGTATGTAAATCATTAACCTCCCTTAAGCAGCTTATTAGGAGACAGGTTCTAAGCAACCAGTCTTTGAAAAAGTATTGAGATTTTAGCCAAGATAAATATAAGCATTTATCATTCCTATGTATTTTATAATGTAGTTTTAATTTTATGTAAAATATTTTTGTAAAAGAAAGTCAACAATCAGATTTTTTATGAGTTTTAAAAATAAGGCTTGTTTTGTGAGTTAAAATTAATTTTAGAGACATGATGTAAGCTCAGAAGTCTCATTATTTATACATGAAATAGCACTGCTTTTGCTTCATGAGGTCATCTTCATGCAAATAATTTATGACAAAAATTGATCTCGGGCCTGCTAGACTGTATCCTGTAAGGAAACTCTTACCACTTAGATGATTTATAGAATCTCATGTCCTTGTTCATCTTTTCCAAGTGTAATGATGGCAAGTTCTGCACAGCAATCCTCTGGTTTCCAGGTAAGATGATGGTGAGGAGAAAACAAAAGCCTAAAAGACAAGGCCTGGACTTGAACTAACTGGTTTTGAGTCACTTACTTAACTTCTCTATAGCCCAGGGTTTATTTGTAAAATAGGGTAATATGAGCTGCCTTGTGGGGTTATAATTAAAATTAAATGAAAAAAAAAAAAACCTAGTGGAACAGGTGCTTCATTAGCGATTGTTTATTAATATGTCAGATACCTGGTGGGAACTAGTCAATAAAAGACTATTGAACAAACTCAGTGTTGACTGTGCATCTGCTTGAAAAGATGACAAAAGGGGAACCAATGAGATGGCTCAGCAGTTAAGGTCACCTGCTGTCCAGTGTGAGAACCTGAGTTCAGTCTCCAGGGTCAACACAGAAGGAAAGATCTGATCCCTGCAAGTTACCCTCTAATTGCCACACATATACGAGAGGGCACACACACACCACATGAGTAAAATAAGGATCTAGAAAGATGGTTCGGGGATTAAGAGCATTTTTTCTGCTCTTGCAGAGGATCCAGATTCTCTTCCTAGCACCCGCATGGCAGCTTACACCAGCTGTAACCAGTTCCGGTGGATCTGATGCCCTCTTCTGGCCTCTGCTGGCACCAGACGTTCACATGGCACACATTATGGTGAAACACTCACACACTTACAATAAAAATAAATCGCTTAGTGGATCCAATTGAAAGGTCAATAAGTACATCTCATAACCCAGCTCAGAGTACTTGCAGACATCACAAGAGTCGTGTGAACAGCTCACATCACCTCCCTCATATATGGCTCGATCTGAAGCCAGATTTCCAATCCCAATGTCTGCACTTTGAGTTCTTTTTTTGAAGACTTGGGGTTAGACTCTAGAAGAAGAAATGCCAGAGGAGTCTTCCTAAGCAGTAGGTTGCATTAAATGATAGCATCCTTTCTCTGGAGCCATGGCCCTACAGAGAAATGAGAAGTCTGTCCTTGCAGATGATGGATGCCAACCAGTGTTGGGATGTGCCTGAGGCAGTGGAGTGGATGTCAAAACTGGCCAAGTTCAAGCCATTGTGGATTGAGGAACCCACATCTCCTGATGACATTCTGGGCCATGCAGCTATTTCTAAGGTAATAAAGCTGCTGCTTCTGCTATCTCAGTCATTTTGTTATTTTGTTCAGTGTTCTTGAGGGGTCGTGACAGATCCTAAAATTCTCATGACACAGTCACTCATACAAAAGACCATGTTCGCAACAAAAATGAAACAATCTTCCTTGCAAATGAGGAGCTATGTTTGCAGTAATCACAGGCCGCCTTCTGGGCCACAAGGGAAGTGTTCTCCTATCTTGAGTGAAAATAGCTTCAGGACCATTTAGTTCATTATGGTTTACCTCTCTTTGAGTGTTGCCTTCTAAGGCTGGTGAAAGCTGTATCAAATATATCTTCAATCATGCTTATAGTGGTCTTATCAAACTGCTAGTGTGTCCTCAAAATTATTTACCCAGAGTGCTACCAGGGTACATGTGGATGAGGGAAGTCAAATTGCCTCACTCCCAACAGCTTAGCCTATTTAAAGGAAATATAAAGATTCAAAGAGAGATGTGTACAATAAAGGTTTATCATTAACATTAGTGGATATTTCATAGTATTCTAAAATGTTTAACTTCTGTCCCAGAGCTCCAGGGACAAGCGGATCTCTCTAATCTGCCTTAATATTTGGTAGAGTAGGTAGAATGAACATATTTTCTGCTTATGATCTTTCTACGTACAGTACATTTATGAAGATCCTATCAAGCTGGGGAGTGCCTGTACTTTATTTTCTTGGAGTTAAACAAAAATTAAAGATTCCTCCAGAGGGCTCAAAGATCAAGCCTTCAAACAAGAGATTGCCTGACTTTTTTCTAAGAGCCCCTGAAACAAATTCACAGTAATTGGTGTCATCTGCATTGCCTTAAGAAGGGTTCAGATAGATCTTAGAAACTATGTCAGGGTAGGTGGCGACTATTGCTCAGGTACCTAGCACTGATCTTCAGAACTGGAGGACCAGTTGGCTCATCTGTAAACTAAACTTCCATCCTCAGAACTAAGCATGCTCTGTAAGAGACTGTATTCAACCAGAGGCTGTAGGATGAATGGAGAATTGGGGTAAGACTAGTTACGAAATTTGAATCATCACACCACAAAGAGCCATCACGGCCATCTCAAAGCTCTGGCACCAAGGCCTGGAGCCTTAAGCCTATCTCCCCCTCTGGGCACAGGTTTGGGCAGAATATGCCTATTCTCTCTCTCTCTTTCTCTCTCTCCTTGCCTGCACATTGTATTATTGGATTACTGTATTAATTTGGCTTCTAGCCTACTCTTGACCTTTAAGAAACATTTTCTCTCTGATATGAGTTTGTGTCTTAGTTACTTTTCTATTGCTGTGTTAAAACACCATGACAAAGGCAGCTTATAGGAGGAAGGGTTTATTTGGGCTTATGGTTCAAGAGGGTTGAAAAGATCATCATGGCAGGAAATCGTGGCAGCAAGCAGCTGACATGGCAGAAGCTGGAGGCTCACATCTCACCTATGAAAGGCATGTGTCCGTAGGGACACATTTCCTCCAGCAAGGCCACACCCCCTAAGCCTACCCAAACAATGCTACCAACTGGGACCACGTAGTCCAGGATCTGAACTTAGGAGGGACACTGAAACCACCACACTTCGATGGCTGTATTTTCTCCTTTTGTGGTTTTTATCTTTAAAATGTACCCGTGAGCGAGAGGGAAGGCTCTGCAGGAGATGGCTGCTGCCAGATCTGAAAACCTGCCAGTTCAGTCACCAGGACCCACCGACCACCACGAGTTATTCTCTGTCCTCCATATATGCCCTGGGGGACCTGTGCCCGCACACATGCACATACAAACACACAATTAATTAATTAAAAAGTTGAGTTAATCTTTAAAATAATTTTAGAGAAGAAAAATGCTTAAAATAAAAAATAAAATGTAGCTGTTAGGAAGAAATCTCTCCTCCACGTCCCCCTCTTCTTTCGAGACATGGTCTCACTGTGTAGCCCTACCCGGCCTCCTTGTAAAACTCACAAAGGTCTGCCTGTCTCTGCCTCCTGAGTGCTGGGCTTAAAGGCATACATCACTATACCCACCCCTGGGAGGAATCTTGTTTTACATTCTGGGAGGAACCTTGATGCTCCTGCTCCTATTAGGTTGTGAGACTGGAAACTCAGGGCCATTCACCATTTCTCCTAAGTAAATTAACAGAGTCTGCTTAGACCAGGCACCTGCCAGAAGCCTGCGTATAGAGGATGCCCTCCTTTATTTAAAGAAAAATAAATAAATAAAGCACCTGAAGCCTCGCCCAAGAGGAAATACTGAGATACATAAAACAAAAGCAGCGGAGTGTTGGATCTGAATACTGAGTGCCTAGTGTGGTAGAAAGAAGCTCACTAAAGGGACAGTGGGGGTTGGCTAGGACAGTCAGAGATAGGGATGGCCTCACAAAGGACATGCCTCACAAAGTTAATGCTAAGGCATGCCACACTATAAGCCAGTTGAGAGACCTTTGGAGTGCCCACAGCCTTCTCTGTGTGTATACGCATGTGAAGGCCAGAAGCCAACCTTGACTGTCATTCCTCAAGCCGTCTATCTTTTTTATTTTGAGGCAGAGTCTCTTACCAGAACCCAGAATTTGCCAGTTAGATTGATTGGCTGACCAGTGGGCTCCAAGGATCTACCTGTTGCTGCTTCCCCAGTGCAGGATACAGACTCATATACATTCCTAAATACATAAATACAACCTGCTTAGGCATATGTTACTTACCTTTAACTTCTGGAGGGAATCAAGGGCAATAGCCATAGCCTATAATGTTTTGGGAGTCTCTTGGACAATCCAGACTAACAACTCAAGGTTTCTCATATGTGGTGTTTGATTTTATTTGATTTGATTTTTGTAGATAGTCTATGGTTCCTGGATGGAACATTGTCAGCCCAGGTGGGAAATTTTCATTTGAACAATGTATATATATGTCTGCAGAGGCTTCTGTGTATTTTATTTTAATTTTAGATACTAAGATGATTCCTTATGACTTTTCCAGATACCCTCACTGTTTACCCTCCTTCTGTGTTTATCTCCCTAATTAAAGTCCCCTTTCCTCATTTCCCCTTTTAAATAATTTGCACCTTTGATTCTCTTCTCTATTGCTCTTTTCCCCAACCCCACCATCCCCCTTTCCTTTCTTAGTTTTTGCAGTTATTCCAGGTTATATACTCACAACTGAAATTTTGGAGCTAGGAACCACAAATGAGATGGTATGACATTTTTTTCTTCTAGGTCTGGGTTACCTTATTCAATATGATCCTTTCTAATTCCATCTATTTACCTGCAAATTCAGTTTTTTTTTTTTTTTTTTTTTTTGCTACAGCTGTATAGTATTCCATAGTATGTATGTGTCTCATTTTTATTATCCATCAGTTGAAGGATATTTAGGTTGTTTCCATCTCCTAGCTATTGTGAATAAAGCAGCAATGAACATGGATAAGCAAGTGTCTATATAGTAGGATGTTGGGTCCTTTTGGGAACATGCTGACAAGTACTATAGCAGGGTCATATGGCAGCCTTATTTTTAGCTTTTTGACAGTTTTCCACTCTAGAACTCCATAGTTGTAGACTGGCTGGGCCAGTTTGCAATTCCACCAACAATGAATGAGAGTTCCCTCTTCCTCCACAGCCTCTCTAGCACTTGTCAGTTGTTTTTCTGAGCTTTGCCATTCTGACTGGGAAAAGATGAAATCTCACACATATCCCTAATTGCTAGAAACTGTGAACATTTGTAGCCATTTTTATTTGAGAGCTCTCCTGTTCAGAAATGAGTTCCTTGGGTCTTTGACTCTTTAGTTTTTGAGATTTTTTTAAGGGTTGTTTGTTTGTTTTGTTTGTTTTGCTTTGTTTTTTGAGAGAAGGTTTCTCTGTGTAGCCTTGGCTGTCCTGCAGGCCAGGCTGACCTCAAATTCACAGAGATCTGCTGCCTCTCCTTCCTTGAGTGCTGGGATTATAGTCATACACCACCCTGTGCAGCTGTTTTTTGAAGGTTTGTCTTTCTTTCTTTCTTTCTTTCTTTCCTTCTTTCTTTCTTTCTTTCTTTCTTTTTTTCTTTCTTTCTTTCTTTCTTTCTTTCTTTCTTTCTTTCTTTCTTTCTTTCCTTCCTTCCTTCCTTCCTTCCTTCCTTCCTTCCTTTCTTTCTTTCCTTCTTTCTCTCTTTCTTTCTTTCTTCCTTTCTTTCTTTCTATTCTGGATATTGATCCTCTGTCAGATGTGTAGCTGGCAAGGAGTCTCTCCTGTTCTGTGGATTTTCTCTTCACTGGATTGTTTCTTTAACTATGCAGAAGATTTTTAGTTGTAATACAAAGTGCCCCTTGTCAATTGTTGGTCTCAGTTCCTGGGCAAATGAGGTCCTATTCAGAAAGTCCTTTTTTGTACAGATATCCTGTAGGGTCCTGCTTGTTTTCTTCTAGCAGTTTTAATGTTTCAGGTTTTACATTTAGGCCTTTGGAGGTACTTTTTGTGTGAGATAAATATAACTTCATTCTTCTACTTGTGGACATTCAGTTTTCTGGCTTTTCTCTTTTTTATGTTTTTGACATCTATGTTGAGTATCAGGTGGTCATAGTCACAAGTTTTTATGTTCAGGTCTTCACATTTGTACCCTTTTGTCTGTTTGCCTGTTTCTGTGCCAGAACAATATTCTTTCTGTTATTATGGCTCCGTAACATATTTTGAGGTATGGAATGGGACTTCCTCCAGCACTGTTCTTTTTTACTTAAGACTGTTTTGGTTACCTGGGGTCTTTTGTGATTCCATATGACTTTTAGAATAGTTTTTTTTTTTTTTCTGTAAAGAATGAGATGGGAGTTTCAATTGGGATTGAATCTCTTAGTTTAGAGACAGGGTCTCACTTTGTAGCCAGACTAATCTCAAACTTTTGATCCTCCTACTTTAGTCTTCATAGTACTGGGCTTACAGTTGTGTACCAGTATGCCTGGCTTATTAGGGTTCTTTTTGCTGTTGATACATTTATTTATTCATTAAAGTATGTGTGTGTGTGTGTGTGTGTGTGTGTGTGTGTGTGTGTGTGTGCAGAAGTCAGAGAAGAATTACTTTACTAAATGACAGAGGGGTTCACCAGGTAAGTAGTGTTCTTAGCCTTATCTGTAAAGTCAGGCTGTCCACAGAGCTGGGTGAGGGGACTTTGGAATTAACAGAAACATCACATCACAGGGTTATTAGGGGTACAATAAGAAAATAAATGTAGCAGTGGCCTACAGCAGGTAGAGGCCACAGGAATGTCCTCTCTGTTTGGAACGTTGTTCAGGCCCGGGAACATGGAGAAACATAGTGATGCAAAAGGAAGTCTCAAGAGCCACATCCAGGAATAGAGCAGTGGCAGTCTGTGAGCAGCCCTGGCTTCTTCCCCCGCTGTGGATACACAACTCTCCCCCACACACATGTTCCTGTGGACATCCTTCTGCCAGGCTCTCAACTGCACACGACTCAACAGCAGGGGTGTTTCCTTGAGCTCTAAAAATATTTTTAAACATTCGGAGTTGCAGTTCAAACATTGGAAAATAACACCAGGCTGCCTTCTTTTGCAGGCCCTGGCCCCATTAGGAATTGGCGTTGCCACAGGAGAACAGGTGAGTGATATGCCCTTGGTATCACCTCACTGACCACTGACAGAAAACATAGTCATGTTGTATATTAAGTTGGGAAATTTTTATTATCTTAAAAATTGGTGGTTTATTAGAGTCCAGAGCTTTGTGGCTTTTTCCATAATTTGTGGGACTCAGGTTACTGGGTTTTTTGTTTTTTTTCTGCTTGTTTTTGTTTTTCTCTAAGCAATTACTCAGAATTAACAAGACAACAACTTAATACTGTCAGGGCATACAGTGTCTTCAGGAAAGCCAACTTCCAACAGAGTGAGAGTGATGTCACTCTCTCCTTGTGCTTATAAATTAAGGACTAGTGCCTGCCTCCACCTGCTGCAGTTAGCCCAAAGGCAGAGCAGAGGATTTTCAGCCTTCCAGCAAAATGCACAATACCACCCTGCCACTGTTCCGTGTTGTCACGGTGCCATCTGCTTTTAGATGTCACTGTGTGTCCTAATGTTCCACCCCACTTCTCCCTCGCCAGGTGATAAAACAGTAACCCTGTTACAAATGGAGAGCCAGTGTGATTTGTACTTGACGCACAGTTACATCTCAGATTTGTTTCTTTTCACTGTCAGGGTCACCTAAGGCCAAGTGAGAAGAGAAAGGAAGGGAAAGGAAGGAAGGAAGGAAGGAAGGAAGGAAGGAAGGAAGGAAGGAAGGAAGGAAGGAAGGAAGGAAGGAAGGAAAAAAGAAAGAGAAAGAAAAGAAAAATATTGTCCAGGCTTCTTGAAATCTAGTACTGGGTAACAGCAGTTGTGGAATCAAGGTAATGCCAAACTTAGGCATCACGCAAACCAAGCCCAGTCCTTCTGTTGGTGTTATGTTGAAATGTTTAATTCTATTTCCAGTGCCACAATCGAGTGATATTTAAGCAACTCCTACAGGCGAACGCCTTGCAGTTTCTCCAGATTGACAGCTGTAGACTGGGGAGTGTCAATGAAAACCTCTCAGTATTGCTGATGGCCAAAAAGTTTGGAAGTAAGAGTGATGAGAAGGCTGTGGGCCAAACCTCCACTCTGCTTAGGCTGGCCTTTGCAACTCCTGGGTCTGTTATTGGCCTTTTTTCTAAATCTTATTTATCCCTAATCAGGGAGTGTTAGCTGATTTCCATCTTGGAGTTTCACCTCTGAAGATTAAAAAATTACCGAATCACCTGTAGACACTAACAAAAACCTGTGGGGTCTCTCTCCCTCTTCCTCTCCCTGCATTATTTTGTGCCTTAAATTGAAATACCTACCTTCCTTCTAGTCCCTGTTTGCCCCCATGCCGGTGGAGTTGGACTCTGTGAACTGGTACAGCACCTGATTATATTTGACTATATATCAGTCTCTGCCAGCCTTCAAAACAGGTAAGTAACAAGGCATTAACCCCTCTCTCATTGCAGTAATATCCCTTGACCCAGGACACCTCTTTGAAAATTCTTTCAGGGCCAGAGAAATTCAGAACCCCTTGTACTTTTGTAAGTACATAGAACAGACTTAACATACCAGTTCCAAACTAAATAAACATGATACTGTTCACTTTTTTCTGTTTCCTCTCTTTAATTTTATGTATATGGGTGCTTTGCCTGCGTGTATGTCTCTGCACATGTATTCACGGCCTGAAGAAGTCAGAAGAAGGTGCTGTATTCCGTGGACCTATTATAGATAGTTGTGAGCTGCCTTGTGAGTGCTGGGAATCAACCTGGGCCCTCTAGAAGAGCAGCTAGTGCTCTTAACAGCTGAACCACATCTCTAGCCCCAACAGGATTTTAAACTGGGCAGTCTCCTTCCAGTCATTTACACGTATATGGATTTGCTTATTATACTTTGTCTGCTGAAGCTGAACATCACACACACATACACCCACACACACCAAAAAACTTCACTAAGATTAAATCTTGAGAACCTACATGGGTAAGGCAAACATCAAATTCAGGACTATGAGAAAGAGATGGATGCGCCAGGGTACATGGGGGCAGGGGTGTGGAGGAGTCCGTTTAGAATTCTAATGGTCTCTTTGTTCTGCTGGCTAGTGACTAAACAGCATTTTCTTTTAAATCTGCCTAAACTAGTTTGTGTTCTAAAGAACGTTCAGTCGAAGGGGAGGAAACTGGGACCTCCTCACCCTAGAGCCACCCACAGACTTAATCTCACAGGAATCTGAAGAAGTCTAGATCCGTTGAAAAGTCTCCCTGCTGAGTTGTTTTACATTCCCTTTCTCATTTCGGTTCTTGCCTTCGTGAGAGTCCTGCAGGCCCCAGCGGGTGAGTCACCTGAGTGCCTCAGTGCAGCATCCCCGGTGTGAGGCCGCCCTAGTGCTGGTGCTTTATACAGGCTTTGCAACTCAGAAATGCCTGTATGAAACTGCCCCCGCACACCAGCGCCACATGCTGACATCCTAACCCTCTGCTTTGTCATTCCTTATGCTGTTGTTGGTGGTGGTTTTTTTTTTTTTTTGAGACCCGACTGTTTCCCCATGTAGCTGGATCTTTATCTGCACCCTGTTCCTTACACAGGGACGCAGGAGCCATTAGCTTCTCTTGCTAGTTTATTTGCGCATTCCTGGTTGTTGTGTGACATTGTTCCTGGGGAGACATGAACAGACTTCTACTTACTCTATTCAGGTAACTGATGACAGATTCAAGTACAGAACCCACCAAAGTTCCAACTTGGTGAACCAATGAGTTTTATTGGGGTTACTTATAGGAATATGATCAAGGGGCTGCTTACAGGAGCAGAAGTGACTCAAAGACAGCTGCCTCACCAAAGGCCACCTAGCATGAGAGACAGCTCACCAAGCTGGGACTTGGAATACACCACACAGCCTGCAGGGGGCACCACAAATTGAAGCGCGTCCCCTCCAGACGACTAAGTAGGCCTGAGCCTCTTCCAGGGAGCTCACCTGGTCTTGTTTCTTGTAGGCAGTTCAGTTGGGGCTTATGGCTTCTTCTAGGCAGCTGGGTTTGCCTGAGAGTGACTCTCAGCAGTTTTTACTGTTTACTCTGGGAAAGAAGGGCTCAGCGAATGTGGACAGTTTCAGGGGCTTCCAGAAGCTGTTTTGAGTTGTTTACTTCACTCTTCCTGAGCATATCCATAGTTATTTTTCCTCTTGTTGGTCCACGTCCCTAAAACATTCAGTCTTAGGAAATTTCACTCCAAAACAGGAGGTTTTACTACACAACCCTAGTACAGGCTGGTACGTACTCTTATCATGTGTCATCATGTTAGCAGGTGACTAAGGAAATAGGTTAGGTTACCAAGCTCTTGGGCATGGTACTGGCCCACAAGCCTGAACAGTGTCATGTACAATTCGAAGAGATTGACCCAATTCCAAGCCTGTGTTTTTCATTTAATCATCTGCACAGATGGAAGTTTAATCTAGTTAACCAACATTTGGCATTAGGCACCACAATAATCCCAAGCGTCTGGAATTTGAATCCATGTGGGCTTACTACAAAACTTTCAGGGTGGGGTTGGGAATTTAGCTCAGTGGTAGAGCGCTTGCCTAGCAAGGCCCTGGGTTCGGTCCTCAGCTCTGGGGAGAAAAAAAAAAAAAAAAGAAAAAAGAAAAAATAACAAAAAGACCAAAAAAAAAAAAAAAAAAAAAAGGTAACTAAAAAAAAAAAAAAAACTTTCAGGGTAACATCACAGTATGTCTCAGTTCCTACATCTGTCCTGGAGATGGAAGCACCTCACAGACTGACTTTACACAGAAACATGCAGTAATAGCTAAGCCTTGGGGATTAAACCTTGAGGCTTATCCAAGCCAAGCTCTTAACACTGAGCTGCAACCTCATATCCCGTTGCAAAAAGGTTGTGTGTTTGTGTGTGTGTCGTGTTGAGTGCAGGCACATTGATTGTGGAGGAGACGACCTCAGGTGCTGACCACCTCCCTACCTTGTCGAGTCAAGGTCTCCTTGTTGCTTACCACTATATACATCAACTATCTCGCTCATCTGAGCCTCCAGGGGTCTTCTGTTTCCACCTCCCCTCTCACTGTACATGCCCCACCACACACAGCTTTACTCGGGCACCTGAGATCAAAGCCGGGTCCTCCTATTTGTAAGGCAAATGCTTTACCCACGGAGCCATCTCCTCGGCACACCATTTAAGGGTACCTTTTCTGCTTTCGTAGTTGCTATCTCACGGGTTAGCTAATGAAACACTAATGTTCCAATTTCCTAGGATGTGTGAATATGTGGACCACCTGCACGAACATTTCAAGTACCCTGTGGAAATCAAACATGCTTCATATCTGCCTCCCAAGGTAAGCTGAGGCCTAGGACATGCTGCAGACATGCTGTCAGAATCCGGGGACCACAAAGCTTTGACTCAGGAATTGATTTTTGGAAAGGAGATCAGATCCTTAAGTTCTAAAGGTCAGCGTGCAGCTACTTTTAAGTCAACTTGACACAAACTAGAGTCATTTTAGAAGAGGGAATTTTAACCGAGAAAACGTCAAGACTATTGGCCTGTGGGCACAACTGTGATGCATTTTGACGTTGATATGGGTGGGCGCAGCATACTGGGGACAGGGCCACCCCTAGACAGGTAGAGTTTTAGATGATATGAGAACAAGGTAGTAAGGAGCATTCCTCAGGGGCCTCTGCTTCAGTTCCTGCCCTCCTGCGTTCCTGTCCTGACTTCCCTTGGTGATGGAATGTGACCTGAGGGATGTAAGCTGAAATAACTTCCTCCCCCAGGGGGTTTTTAGTCAAATGTATCACGGCACTAGTCCTAAGACACAGAGCTACAATCATATTTTCACCGTTGCTAAGCCCTTAAAACACACATTCCTCCTTCCCGAAAGCCAGCAGCATCTGCCCATTAGTAACCTGGGCTATTTATCCTGATTTTATCCAGATTATGGCTCATTTTCACCAACAGATATTAAGCTACCAAAGTTTTAGTTTCACTAACAACCTAGGTAAGTAGCCAATAAAATATGACCCTCTCTTCTTTCAAACAACAAAACTTACATTGTAAAGCTTTACTTTTAATTACATGTATGTGTGTGGGCTAGCGCCAAAGGAGGAAAACCCTAGAACTAGAATTGAACGTTGACTGACATTGGTGCTGGAACTCACACTGGTATTCAACAGGCACTCTCAACTTCTGAGCTACCTCTCCAGCTCCCAAACTTAATTTCTTAACTACTGAATTACCTCTAGATTAGATTTAGAAGCATTTCTAAATGTAGCAGAAGAAACCAGTGTTAACATGTACCAACCTACGGTCTTTGCTAGGATGCAGGCTACTCAACAGAAATGAAGGAGGAATCTGTAAAGAAACACCAATACCCGAATGGAGAAGTCTGGAAGAAACTCCTTATTGCTCAAGATTTGTGTGTTCGGCCCTAACACTTTTATTTTTCCTGAAGTGGAAATGCTTAAAATTCTGGAGTTTCACAAAAGTAGAAGAAAAATCAAGTCTAGCTGTAAGTCACATTCCCCTCAGGAATCAGCTGTCATCATGGTTGATGGTCAAACAAGTCAACATTCTACTTTAAAAATCTCTGTCAAGTGCTATACTTGGAAAAATATGCAACATGTTTCACAATTTGTTATTATAATTCCTTATTCTAACACTTGCCATAGTTCAGAATAAAACTGGTTCTGCAGCACTGTGAGGGATCTGGTAAAGCTACAAAAACGATTCACTAATTTGTCCTGAAATGGTTTAGCATCCCTTCTGCTATCAGTCTAAGCATTTTAGAGTCTTTTAACACTGCACTGAAATTAATGGGGACAAATGTTATTTCTTCACACCTTCAGAACTCTTGCAAAACTGTCTTAGCCAGGCATGGGAGCTCCCAGGTACAACCCCAGCATTCAGGAAGCAGAAGCTAGTTTTACTGTAAGTTTGAGGCTAAAGGTACCTACTGAGCTCTAGGCCAGCTAGGGCTAAAGTGTGAGCCATGTCCCCTATACTAGCCACCAACAACCAAAACCTTAAAACATGATTTAAAACTATCTTGTGATGGTTAACATTAATGTTTTTAATTACTGTGCTTAATATATTATGTAGATATAATTATATTTAAAATTTCTAGCATGTAAACTTCCAGCTTATACAGGATGAACCCTGTACAAGTTTTTTGTTGTTTTGCTTTACCAGATGTTGAAAACTATTCTTAAATTGACTGATCTTATAAAATTTAGCAAGGCAACAGGTCATGCGACTGCAGTTTCTGCTTTTGTAATCAAACTTGCTTACTCTGCTCAAAAAGATGACTAGGACAACAGGAAGACATACATGTAAAAAATTAGACCCTGCATGCACGTCCATGTACTCTTGTGGGTTTTGCCTTTCTAAGCGCTGGGCTAATATTAGTTAGTGCACGTTGGGAGGACTCTCAGGTACAGACTTGGCCCCAGTCATTCCAGGAGCCAGAAAGAAAAAGCACCTTTTTAAAATTTATTCACGGTCATAGTCTTAGTTTTATTGCTGTGAAGAGACACCATGACCACAGCAACTCTTCAAAAGGAAACATCTGGGGCTGGCTTACAGTTCAGAGGTTTAGTCCGTTATTGTCATGGTGGGAGGCCCAGTACCATGCAGGCAGGCGAGGTGCTGGAAAAGGGGTTGGGAGTTCTACATCCTGAACCGAAGGCAGCAGGAAGAGACCGTGAGCCACTAAGCTGGCTTAAGCTTCTGGAACCTCAAAGCCCACCCCCAGTGACACACTTCCTTCAACAAAGCCACATCTACTCCAAGGCCACACCTAATAGTGTCACTCCCTATGGTCTATGGGGGTTATTTTTATTCAATCATCACAGTAATGATGCATCTCTAAATGACTCAGACCCATAACAATCTTAATGGTCATTACATCTCTATAAAATGTTACTCTACTGAAATAAATTGTGGAAAAGGAAAAGGCTTAGTCTTTCTTTCTAAATACAATTAACTTTAGGTTGAGGCTACATACTGAATTCCAGGTCAGCTTGGTACAAAGCAAGACCCTGCCAAAAAAAAAAGGGGGGTTGGGGGGAGGCTGGGGATGGCTAACTTTGTAGAGTTCTTGCCTAGCATACAAGAAATCCTGAATTTGATTTCCAGTACAATATAAATTGGATATGGTTGTACAAGCCTACAATCCCTTCAGCAATGAGGTAGAATCGGGAGGGTGAGGAATAAAGTCATCCGCAGCTACAGAGTGTGTTCCAAGGCCAACCTGGGATATTGATGAGACCCTATCTCAACAAGTTAATAAAGGCTTAAGGTTTTCAGGTTAATGTATTTTAGGCAGAGACTGAGCCCGTCACTAAGCCTGACCAAACTCCCTCAAATTGTACTCTGACCTATATGCCCACACAAATAATTTAAGAAACAGACAAATGCAAAACAATTCTTTATTAAGGCAGCATATAAAATGTACATAAGTGAACATTGTAATGTATTTCAAGTTTACAGGAATAATATGATCTGAATTTCACCAGCCTTCTTCATATACAAGAAGTTTTATTTTTTTTTTATTTTTTTTTTTTTTGCTGAGTATATAATTTCAGCTTTTTTATGTACCTTCAGTGGATACTAAAGGAAAGGCAGTTCTAAATGCCAGTGACACTTTTATAGACGTTGATAGTAACAGAGAGATCACTGTCAATTTTGACCTAGTTTACTTTCCTTTAGAGAAAAACTATTTTACCCTAAAAACTGGTGATAGTCACAGCATCACTGAAAGTGCTCTAAACAGCCATTTCCATTTTAATCGTTGGGTGTGGATTATACCCTTCAATCTGAAAGTCTTCAACTTTGAAATCATCAATTCTCTCAACTTTTCGGAGGATTCTGAGCTTTGGGAAAGGTCTTGGTTCTCGCTGAAGCTAAAGACAAAATAATGGCATTATTTGACATTCGTTCCTGTGTCTCCTCATTAAGCCAACATAACATTTTATCACAAAGTACTACTTTATAGGAGTGCAGTATTGTACTGTCTTTTCTTTCTGCAACATTGGGGATCACACCTATTGCCTCATGAGAGCTACATAAGAAATCCACAATCCAGCTACAGCTGAGCTTTTTTTTTTTTTTAACTTTTTATTCTGAGACACAGTCTTTGGCAGACTCTGTCTCAGTGCTTATGTTGAACCCTCTCTGTGGCCCAGGCAAGCCTTGAACTTGAAATGCTCCTGCTTCAGCCTCTTTTTTTGTTTTGTTTTTTTCGAGACAGGGTTTCTCTGTGCAGCTTTGGCTATCTTGGACTTGCTGTGTAGACCAGGCTGGCCTCAAACTTACAGAGATCCGCCTAACTCTGCCTCCCTGAGTGCTGGGATTACAGGTGTGGTCCCGTGCCCTGACCCCATCACCTGTTTCAGCCTAAGTGACTGTGATTAGAGGCTGAAGCTGCCAGCTAACTCCTAATAAATATATTAAACACAGGAACACAGTTGTTTGCTCTTCTGAGTCTAATTTTTTCCTTAAAGCTCATGAAGCATGGACACTCATATTCTTGCTGCCATTTCATTTGTTGGCTGCTGTATTATAGGGATTTGAACAGACAGGCTTTTTAAAGTTCAGGCCCAACTACTGTACTTAAGCATAAAACTAAAGTCAAACACTTCATATTTTAACTCTTCAAGTAAAAATGAGTTTACATGCCTGGGTTTTCTCTCTGATACTCATGCTTAATGCCTTACCATTTTCAGTGCTTGTGGTTGCTAAGGCTGATTATGGCCTCATCCCTGCTTACCTTCCTTATTAAAAGCCCTGCAGTTGGAACACTTCAATATAAGACAGCATGAACCAACCAGAGTGCCCGTGATACAAAGGGGGCCCTGTCATCCAATCTTTTGTCAAGAGAAGGCACCAAGCTCAAAAAAGAGATTTAACAGGTCTATTTCTTACCTGAATTTTCAGTGGCTCGATATGATTCAGGTAAATATGCGCATCTCCCAAAGTATGGACAAAATCACCTGGCTAAAAACGTCTCACGGGAGAGAACACAACAGTTAATAGTTTAATTATTTAAAAAACACATCATCTGAAAAGCAGATTAGCAGCAGGTGAGACGGCTCAGTGGGTGAAGGCACTTGGCCCAAGCCTGACAACCTGAGCTTGATCCCCGGGATCCACATGGAGGAAGAGAACTGACTCATGCCAACTGCCCTCTGATCTCTTCACACAGGCTGTGAATATGCGGCCCCCCCCCCCCACACACACACAACAAAACACTATACAGGGTATGCAGATACTTCAGAGCTTCCCCCAAAAGCCATCTTATCAGTGTGGTCTTAAAGTTGTGCGTGATGGCTGCTACATGAAATCCCAACACGTGGAAGGCTGAGATGTTTACCACTCTAGTTGGCATCATGAACCTGGGAAGGCAGGGCCTGAAAAATGAGGTGGACTGAAGTCTCAGGCCATAGCCATCTTTACTCAGGGCACCATACAGTTTATACTGAGGGTTAAAAGGAGTCACATGAGTAAAGTGTGTAATCCGGAAGAAAACCTGTTTTTTCCATAGAGGTAAACTCACGCCTATCTGCTACACCTGGGAGAAGCACGCAAACATTCCAAGAACAAGTCTGTTTTGAAGGAGCAAGTCACAAGACTCTTCTTGGAGCTTTCTCCCAAGCACTCAGAATTCTCACGACTTCATTCTCGGACTGCTTTCTGACACTGAGACAGTAGGTTCAAGGCTAGTCTAGGCTAGAGAATAAGCCCCTGTCTCTAAAAACAACCCCCACACATAAGCAACCTATATGAATGTTAGTTTCCACAGGAAACAAGGGGCCAAAAACCTCCCAAGGAGGGTTACAAGGTGAGTCAGTTCATGTCTTAACATAAAAATGTAATACTAATTAGACCGACTTCCCTGCTATAAGTTCAGTACATTACATTAGTACATTACATTAGCTATAACTGTGCCTTCTGAAAGCAGCTCACCCGCAGGCCCGTGATGTGTGCAATCATGTAGGTGAGCAGGGCGTAGCTGGCGATGTTGAAGGGCACGCCTAGACCCATATCACCTGACCTCTGGTAAAGCTGGCAAGACAGCTCTCCATTCACCACATAGAACTGACAGAGGGCATGGCAAGGAGGCAGTGCCATCAGGGGAAGATCTGAGGAGTCAATGGGGAAACAAGGAGGGGTGTTAGAGAGCATAGCTATGAGGTAATAGAAGACTGTTCGTTAGCATAAGATATCTGTAAGCATACATTTATGCTGGAGCAATGCTCTTCCATCTGAGCTGAAATGAAGGATCTGGGCTGCTGCTGACGGCACCAAATAAAACGGCAACTACTTCATTTGCAAAAGCCATAGGAAACGGTCATCTGAGGCACATTTTTCTGTTACTAAGCCTCTATTATAAATACAAATGTCCTTTTCTGGACACTCACTACACTCTGGTAGAGTTTAATTTTATAAACCAGTTTAGTTAAGCGTTAACACTTGAAACATCATCTGCTCCAAATTAAAGTTAAACCTACAGGTGTATTTTTATGAGCAATTTAATGCTCCTTTAATATAAATGCATAAATGGAATCACATGGGTCAAACCCCAAAATACAAAGGTGAAAAAAACAGAACAAATGTGAGTTGGTCAAGGGCACACAATCAACCACATGACTAGAGGCAGTTCCAGTGCCCTCCAGTGCCACAGGCCATCTTGCTTCCCTTTGGCTAACCAGTTCATCCAAAGGAAGACGACGGGACGCTGTCTACCTTTTGGGTTCCAGGCACACATGATGATTCTTCTGTCGTCAGGATTGGTTTTGATGGTGTCAATCACTTTTTGCAGCTGGTCTACTCCTTGACCCGAGTAATCTGTAGAATTGTCAGGAGGGCACACACACAAAACCACATCAGTCGCAGCATTCATCCTGTACCCCTCCCTGGCCCATGACACCCGGCACATTCTGGGTATCTCTTAGATATTGGTCCTTGGGGTCAAGGTCCTTTCTGAACCCATGCCTGCCTTAAGGAGCTACAACAAAATCTAAGTTCTTTTCTACCCAAGTCTTTAAAATATTTAGTCTGTACAATGTCACTTCTCCATTTAATACTGCTCCTGTTGATAACTGCTGTTTGGAAATGTGTTGCCCAAGGGCTCATGGGTTGAAATGTTAATTCTCATTTTGGGGTAGAAATTTACTCCGGTTTTGTAGCCCTTTAAGTGATTAGGATTAGAACTTCATTAGGGGAATGCAGGCAGACACACTGCCTACCAGTTTGCTATTGCCTCGGCCCTGCAAGGGAAATGGTCATCATAGGCAACTCCTGCACCTTTTCCCAGGTGAACCTCCTTCTATCCTAACCCTCACAAACCAAGCCTGTCACTATTTGCCAACGGCACAGGTATAGAAAGCCCCAAGTATCTAATCATGTCCAATAAGTAAATGCTAGCCGAGAGCATTATTCAGCCCTCGTGAGATTTAGCTGTAATTTCTTCACCTACAATGGAGAACCCGGCACAGCTTCTCACAGTGTTGCAGACGCATCCCTATACTCTACAATGGATCTCTGAGGAAGACCACTCAGGAAACCTGAGGCATTGTTACCTCCTCACCTGCATCCATATCTTTGTAGTCTGCTCCAAAATGCCTCCACTGGAAACCATAAACTGGGCCCAGGTCCCCTTCCTGTCGGGCAGAGAATCCCAGGCTGTCCAAGAAGTCTCGAGACCCATTGGCATCCCAGATTCTCACTCCCTTGGAGGACAGTTCTTTAGCATTTGTGGATCCCTAGGAAAAAATCAGAGTAGAACAGGCTAAGAGGATTTTGAAGTTGGGAGTGGTGGCACACGTCTGTAATCCCAGCATGTTGGGAGAGAGAGGCAGGCAGATCTCTGAGTTCAAGGCCAGCCTGGTCTACAAAGTGAGTTCAGGGCAACTAAGGCTACACAGAGGGAAAAAAAAAGAGAGAGATTTTTGAGACTCTCATCTCCTACCCACGGTATACTGCCCATATGCAGATTATCTTTGAGCAGCTGGTCCTGGCCAGGTTTCTAAGGGCTTATAGAACGGTCTTAGCCCTTATGAGAAATGCCCTAAAGGTATTCTTTTCTAGTCCCTTCAACTTTCCAGCTGACAGGCCAACAAAAAACAACGTATCTTAACACTGAACGAAGACAAGACTGAAGTAAGACAAATCTCAATCCTTTCTAGCACGGGTAAGGAATCAAGGGTCCGGTAGGTCCAAGATTATGCAAGTCACACTACGTGCTCTATTTTTCACTTATTTTGTGTGTAAGCGTGGTGTGTGCACGGGTATCTGAGCCCACGGAAGCCGGAAAAGGATTCTGGCTGTTCTGCTCTATCACTTCCTACTTCCCCTTGAAACAGGTCTGACTAAACCTGAAGCTTGTTTGGGCTACACTAATGGCCAGCACGCACCAAAGATCCTCCTGTGTCTACCCTCCCATTATAGCACTGGGGTTAGACAGCTCGGATTTTTTAAGCTTTATTTTAATTTTATGCGTATCGTTGTTTTACATGCATGTGTCTGTACATCATGTGCATGCACTGCCCAAGGACAGAACAGGGAGTCGGATATCTTTGAATGAGACTTACAGATGCTCGCAAAAGAGCGACAAATGCTCTTAACCACAGAGCCATCTCTCTAGTCCCACACCCAGACTTTTTATGTGACTGCTGAGGCTGAATCAGCCCTCCTGCTTGCTCAATAAGTCCTCTTTTACCTACTGAGCCATCACCACAAGTACTCTAAAGAAGGGGTTGAACTTGTACTACGGCCCAGAACTCAGCTTGTCTCCTGGAGTACTCTCAACCAGCACTAGGCAGAACCTCATTTGTTCTGGACCAGGAAAGAGAGGAAAAACTTGGGGCTACTACCACCTGTCACAACACTCCAGTATAATCCAGGCACCTACCTGACTCCTTGGTTTCTGCTGATCCAGCAATCCGTTTATGCTGAACACCTACCACGTGGCTGGCTACACTCTACACCTAGGACTACAACAGCAAGTAGGAGAAATTGATGCTCTAACTTTGGGGAACTCACAGGACCCTTTTTTCCCCCCCATAAAGAGAAACAAGGAAGCGAGAAGGGAGAAGAATCCGCCTTGACTAGATCAAGACTGTCTGAGTGGGACTGGAAGGGAGACTCACACTCCATATGGAAGGAAAAGGTAATGAAAATGGCAAGGGCCAGAGGCCAGGGCAGAACTATCCCAGTATGTTCACATCAGTGAGGAGAGCAGGAAGGGTGGGAGAGAGAAAAACATCTAAAGCCAGAACCAGAAAACGAGTCAGAGAAGTGGGAGTGGCCAAAGAGCCACTTCTAGGACGATTATTGTGAGGACTGGCTCTTCCAATAGCAGCACCTCCTACCTTGATAAACCACAGCAGCTCCTCCAAAACACCCTTCCAGAACACTCGTTTGGTTGTGAGCAGAGGAAATTCATCTGAAAAACAGTTTGTCACCCAGTTAAAATGTGGTAAAATACAGTAAGCCTCCATCCAGCTTTCTCTGTGGAGAAACTGCCTGGAACACAAAATCCTGGAGTGGCTGCAGGAAACAGGAACTCCTGCTCCCCTACAGGACAAGTCGGCGACACCACAGTTCTACAGAGACTCAGGGGTCACCCACGGGCAAAGAGAAAAAGCTCCCACTCACTACTCAGACACTGTGAATGCTCTCATTGGGGCGCAATGACAACACCCAAAATGTGGCTTCGGACACAGCCTAAAGGCACCCATGCCCAGGTCTCCCATGCTCCCGGCAGAGAGGTGATATCGCTCTGGTAAAAACTGAAGAACAGTTTTCAAATATTTGGAAACAAACTGTCCTAGTACATAAAAACAGAATTGTTTACTAACTCAGAATGTCCGTCAGGGAGCTTTGTGACCTCCACTTCACAGGTACCTAAAGGAAATGCACAAGTTTGCACAGTTTAAGAGGCAAAGGGGCAGGGCAGGGCAGGTCAAAGCAACTGACAGGTAAGAAAAAAGGTCCAGGCTAGAGACGCCTGAGTAAATGTTTTGCAATGAGAACATTGCTTACATTGCTTCCATTTTTAACATCTCCACGGGAAAGCTGAATGAAGACCAGAGAGATTAAGGATAAAACACAGACAAGAAAACAAAACTTGTCCACGGTCTAAGCAGAAGTGGATTAAAAACTGGGTCTGTGGTTCATTGGAGTCCACTGTTCTCGGGTGCCCTTTAGGCTGGATTAATCTGCGCATCTGTGCAGTAGGAGCTGAAGTTTCAAGAACATGTCTGAGACTACGTGAACCCCCTAACAATGAATGGGTATATCTTCACTCAAGGCAACTCTCCACGCCAGTGTCTGGCTGCTCATCATTCATCCTAAGGGCCAACACCATTAACTCCCGCCCCCAGCCAACACTAGGAGGTCCCGTGCCCTTCCCAACCCCGAGCCCTCGATTCCAGCAACCCAAAGAGAGCGCTTCTTCCCCGGGGCCAGCCCGTGCGCCCACACTTCCTCTCGGTTCCTTTTTAAAAGCCCAGGCTGTTAGGGAAAACCCCAGTTTCCGCCTCGGGCCTGGGATCTCCCCTTTTTCCGCGCCTCGGTAGCGCCGCCCAAGTTATTTTCGCTCCAATTTTAAAAACTGTTGCAGAAAGGAAACGTTAACTAAGGGGAGGAAGAGGAGGAGCAAAGTCCGGACCTCAGGACAAGCTCCGGACCAGCCGGGACGACAAGTTTCTCCCACCCCCTCCCTCGGGCCTCAGGACAGGCGGTCAAAACAGGGGTTAAAAAAAAGAAAAAAGAAAAAGTGAAGGCGAGCCTTTAGGACCAGGTTCACCCGCAGAGCTGTCACCTAGCAGCCCTGGGGCGGGGACGATGAGCTTAGGACCCTGGGAGCCCGGCTCAGGACCAGCCGCGGCCGCCCGCCCCGCGCCTCCGCGCGCCCAGACCGCCGGGGTCCTCCCGCAGTCCATCCCGCCAGCGGGGACCAGCCACGCTCACCTCTCAGGCTGTACCGCGCCTGCATGCCGAACACCGAGAGCGTGCCAGTGCCGGTGCGGTCCTCCTTCTTGAACCCGCAGCGCAAAATGTGCTCCACCTGCCCCAGGTACTGCAGCTCCCCGTGCCGCGGTTCCAACGCGCCCCGCCGCAGCTCGCAGCCGGCGACCGGTAGCTCGCAGCCGGCGACCGACATAGCGGAGAAGTCGGCGGCGGCGTAGTTGGCGCCAAAGCAGGGACCTTCCGCGCGCTCTTTTCCCCGCACTTCCTGCTGGAAAGATACGGGCTACCTGGAACTGGCGGGTCCCGCGCCCACGTGGCTGAAGTTGTCGGAACAAACCCGCGCCCACTGTCTCTTGATTTACCCTATCTCGGCACTAAGAGCCTATACGGTCAAGGCGTCCCAGCTCTAAGGAAGCTGAGGTTAGAGGATCAGGAGTTTAAGGCAATCCTTCCCTCACAGCCAAGTTCAAGGCCATCCTCGGTACAGGAGACCTTGTCTCAAGAAGGGGTTTGGCTCAGACTAGAATACATTCAGAGCTTGCCTCTTGATGCAGTGAAGATTAGGATCTCGTTTTCCTAGCCCGGGAGGGGCTTGGTTCCTTGGGCGTGCAATTTAGAAACAAACCGCTTTGTTGCCCAATATCTAAAAAAGGACGGAGTGATTCCCGTTCTCATGACTATTTTCCCAGCCGTGCTGAAGGCTATCAGCTGGAACAAGTCGAAGGTGCACATTGTTAGATTTTTTTTTTCAAGCATTCTTTAAAGTGTGCATTTAGTGTGCGTGCCTTGTAAGCTTTTGCTTACATATCAGGGTATGGAGACAGCTCATCAGGCTTGGTGGCAAGCCCTTTACCATCGCTGTTACTCCGTTCAGCTTTTCAAATTTTAATGCCACATTTTAATCACTGGTGAGTAGAACTATTTGGTGAGTTTAAAAGGTACTAATACATGTGCGTAGTGTACCTGCAGCAGGAGATCTGTTACTTCATTTAGATGCCCAACAAACTTTCAATTTTGGTTATGTCTGGGGATACGAAGGATAGGATTTGGGCTCTATTGAAACATTCTAAACACTATCAATTCCCCCCACACTTGAACCCAAGACTTCCCACATGTTTCACGCCACCACTGAGCAATAAACCCAGACCAAGTCTATATTTTTTGAGTTTTTTGTTTTTTTTTTTTTCCCCTTGTATCTCACATTTGTCATTTTTGCTTATGGTATGAATTGGGTAAGAATCCCCCACCCCAAAGGCCCATGTGTTAAAAGGCTTGCTGGCCAGCCTGGGTTATTACTGGGAAGTGGTGTAACCTTCAGCAAGCGGGGTCTAGTGACCAGAAATAGCCATTCTTGACGGCAACACTGGGATCCTGGCTGCTTCCTGTTTCTCTTTGCTTCCAGCCACAAGGTAAACAGGGTCTAACTTCACAACTGGGAATCACAATAATGTGCCGTGCATGGTAGAGTAAGATGTTGTTCCCACGGACAAGAAGGCAACTAAAACAAGCAACTGTGTTCTGAAAACCAGCCAAAATAAACCTCCATGAGATGAGTGTCTCAGGTACCAACCATGTCACAGTGGGCGAAGCTAACACAGCGGCAGGATCTCCTGTGTTCCTGCTAAAGTTCAGCCTCAACGCTCAAAATGGAAATGTTTGTGTTGTTAGGCTGGAAAGATGGCTCAGCAGTTCACAGCCCTGGCTGCTCTTACAGAACCACCAGTGGAATCCAGGCAGAAAAGAGCACAGACTACTCAGTTGTATGTTAGCTTTGTGCTAATTTTCTCTATACTGAGCCTACCCAGGATAAGCCAATCATGGTGAACCAAAACCTAAGAGTGGACTCTTCTACTCTCATGAAAAATCCTTTATCGTAGCCTTCCTTAAGAACCTTGTTTTGATGGAAAGGATTCTTTGAAGCTAGATGCTAAATACATATTAGCCAGAATAAATGATACTCAAACAAGCATCTATTAATACATGTAACAAACACTTCTATTACAATGCCTTGCTTGTGTCAACAAGGAGCAAGACAGGCAAGGACCTGGTCTTCATGGAACTGGTTTTCCAGAAGAGACAAATGATTAGAAAGTTTCCAAGCAAGTTTTCTTAGATGGGCCAGGATGGGACACATCCAGAACCGAGGTTCATTCCCTGGTGCTGAGGGCTAGACTAACCTGAGGCTTTCCCGGAAGCCCTGATGTACGGAGAAGGAACACCCTCCTTCTCTGAAGCCAGGATAAGCTTGGCAGAACCGGTAATGACCTGGGGGCCAGAGCCTTAGGAAGCTTCAGCGGCAAATCCTAAGAACCCAATCTTCTCACCCTTAAGGACTACAGTTATCAGTCCCAAGGCTGCTGTGTGCTTGGTCTGTAATGTTCTGGAGATAGCCTGTGTGCAGCATTGCCTGGAACGTTTCCTGCTGACTTTATCCCATTTATCCCCTGGAAATAGAAGGTAATGTGCTGTACTTCTTACGAGAGACCTCCCAATACAAACACATCCATATCACCTTATCTTCTGATCTCCTGGTCCTCTCTCAGGACATGTCACTCAAGAATGACCTGCTAGTTCAGGTCACCCCAGTGCCATGAAGAACTTTTCAGTTCATAGTCATAACAATTTGTAACATATTGTTGGGATCCAAAAGTCCAAAACAACCCAAACAGGCATAAAGAAAGCAATAGCTTTCTTTGCATTAGGCAGCCAAAACTAACCAGTCAGGGACAACAGCACAGACGCAGGAGCTGACTGTATCTTCAAATATTCATCTTAGTATTTAAACAAATGACAAAAATGTATTGTGCTCAGGTTACTAGTGATTGATTAGGGCCACAGAGCAGACTCAAGCTGAACTGTGACCCAGAGCTAGAACATTACAGAGTTCTTAAACCTGAAATCCACAAATATCTTTGCCAAGTTACATTTACATTTTTCCACCAATCAGGATTTAGGGATAGGGAACTTCTTTTTGTTGTTTGTTTTTGTGAGACAGGGTTACTCTGTGTAGCCTTGGCTTCAGATCAGGCTCACCTCTAACTCCCAGAGATCCCCCTGCCTCTGACTCCCAAAGTGCTCCAGTAGCACCGGACTTTTTTTGTGTGTGTGTCCATTGTTTTTTTTTTATTTTTTAAGATTTATTTACGTCCTGCCTACATGTTAACCTGCACGCCAGAAGAGGGCACCAGATCTCCTTATAGCTGGTTATGAACCACCATGTGGTTGCTGGGAATTGAACTCATGACCTCTGCAGGAGCAGCCAGTGCTCTTAACCTCTGAGTCATCTCTCTAGCCCAGTTGTTGTTTTAACTGCATGTATGTCTGTGTAAGACTGTTGGAGCCCCTGGAGCTGGAGTTACAGACAGATGTGAGCTGCCATATGGGTGTTGGGAGTTGAACCCCCGTCCTCTGAAAGAGCAGATTGCTCTTAACCGCTAAGCCATCTCTCCAGCCCCCGATAGAGGACTTCTTTACGAACATTTCCTTGTTATACGCTTATGCTGTTCCCATTGGTTAGATTATTCAACTGTGCCAGGGCAACTTGCCTATTGGTTGGGTTATTCAACTGTTAAGGGGACACTTGCCTAGCATTCATGCTTCAACTTGCCAACCAAATCCAAGTACATGTCTCTTTGTTTTGCCAAGCAGGATGTCAGTTACTCAGGGAGGTCTTGAGAACTTAAACTCTATTTGGCCCCCTTTCAAAATGGAAGTTTTATTCAAAATGCCTTCAGTTTGGTTCCTTTTCACAACATATTATTTTGTCAATATGAATAATTGCAATGGTAGTGATCTAGCAAGAATGTTTGATACCGATTTATTTGGTGTTACGGGAAATTTCTTTTACTTTTAAACCTCAGTTTTTAGATGTTTTGTTTTATTGATCAACAAGCGATAGTTGGGCGTAAATATACATTATTGATAAAATTTTCAGCAGAAAATAGAAGTTTAGGGAGAAATCTAAGGAAATTAAAATGTCTTTCTATGAAAGAAAGGAGGTGGCAATTCGGTACTCTGAAAATATCTTTTACATTCTAAGAGAACTGGGACTTTTGCTGGACCCCCCAGCCAGAGTTAATCCTACACCTTGAACTCAAGATTGCTAGCCTACTGTATACTCAGCCTGTTTGTTTACCCTACTTTAGAGAGAACGATGTAAACCCAGTGAGGTGGCACACACCTATAATCCCAGCCCTTTCGGGGAGGGGCAGAGGCAAGAGGATCTCTTTTGCTTCCTGGCTTGCCTGGTCTACAAAGTGAATTCCAGGACAGCCAAGGCTATACAGAGAAACCCTTTCTCAAAAGACATAAATAAATTAATTAATTAATTAATTAATAAGTGTAACGTTATGTATATGTCCAAAGCAGCATTTTGCACTCACGTGGAAAGAGGGATGAGTTCATCCACCTTTGACCCATCTAGTGGATGGACAGATATTAAAGCAAAATTTGATCTATACACGTAATGAAATAGGGAAAACCAACCAGTGATACAAGAGGGATGAGCCTAGAAGACATCAAGCTAGATGATACTTGTCCCTCACAAAAGGAGAGGAGTGTATGACCCCACACACATGAGATGCTAAGAGTGGTTAGACTGACTGACAGGCACTGCAGTAGGGGATAACAGGAAGGGGAACCGAATGTTTAGTGGCTGGAGAGTTTAGTTTGAGAAAATGAAAAATGCCTAGAGATAGAGAGTGGTGATAGTTTCACAGTATAAATGTACTCAATGCCTCAGAATTCTACATTTAAAATGGCAAATTTCATGCTATGTATATTTTACCACAGTAAAAATAACTATGCAAAAGCTTAATCCTTTACCATATAAAGGATTGAATAATACTTAAAAAGAGTGGTGGGGACAGATGCTTTAAACTGAGCTAGGTTTTATGGTGTATGCCTTTAATCCCAAAACTCAGGAAGCAGAGGTAAACAGTTCTCTGTGAGTTCAAGGCCAGCCTGGTCTGAGGTGTAAGTTCCAGGAGAGCCAGGGCTACCCTGAGAAACCCCCATCCCAAAAGCCAAATTTAAAAACACTGAGGTGAGAATCCTTTGTTTAATTAGAAAGTGACACATTTGGGCTGGAGGGACAGTTCAGTTAAGAAGACATGCTACCCTTTGCAGAACAACAGCTTTCAGCTCTAGCTTGGGGGCAGTTAATGGCCTCTAGCAGCCATGGGCACCTGCACTTATACATGGACAAACACACACACACAGACACACACACACAAAATAAAATTTTACAAAAGAAAATAAAACAGGCTGCGGTTTTAATTCTACTTTTAATTCCAGCACTTGCGAGGCAGAGGCAGGTGGATCTCTTAGTCTGAGGCCAGCTAGCTCAGTCTACATACTGAGTTCCAGGACGGCCAGGGCTACAGAATAGAGAGAACCTGTCAAGCAAAAAAGAAAAGAAATCCAAAAAGAAAGAAAAGGAATTGACACATTTGTAGAAATAACAGAATATAAACACCTAGGTGAGTTAATGTTTATTTTAATACACAGAACCTCTGATATGTCATTCAATGAAGGATATATTTACACTTTAAGAAAGATGTAACGGAGGTTTTGGTTTATTTAAAAATTCAGTTATGTCATATAAATATGTTTTTGTTTTAATCCCAAGTGTGGGATTTTAGTTTGGGCTTTAGTTTGTCCACAGCTGATAACTGCCTCCCGTGGGGCACGGTCTTTGCCAACTGGAAACAGCTTGCCTCGTGCAGCACGGAGAAGGGCGTAGTCTAGAACTCTGAAGGATATAAATATGAGAGCCCAGAAAGAGAAGGGTGGCAGTGTGGAGAGACCAGAGATGGATGGTGTGGCGGCTTGGAGGAGACAGAGAGGAACGTTTCAACACAGCAGCTTGGAGGAGATTGCTTGCTGCGTTTGCTCTTGATGGTGACTGGTATAGCCTGAAAAGAACCCATCGATCCTAAACAGCAGGAGAAGCAAAGGGGTCTGTGCCCCTCTCCCCACTAACCTTCTCTCTCTTACCTAGGGTTAAAGGGTTGGTGGAAGGGAGGAAGAAGCTTAAATACCCCAAACAAAAATAGCTTAAAAACAAGCACAACAGAAAGAATTTTCATTTTTAACACAATATACCTAGTTATTAGTCAACATAAGAACATTAACACTCCTTCCTAACACAGGGCTAACATACTTGCCTATAATTAATGTTTACTGTATGAGTCTGTATTATATCTTAGGATTTGCAGGTTTCAGCTAACGAGATAATTCTTGTTGGATGCAGGATGTATTACATCTTATCTTTTAAACAAAAGTAGCTATTGTAAAAGCAACTTTTATTCACCCGATTCAGTTGTTGTCTTGGAGAATGATTGCCTCCATTTGCTAGTTTAGTCCTAGTCCTAGAAGCTTCTAGCCTCTGAACAATCTAACCTAGAATGTTTTCAGCCTCAGAGACTTACTGACTGCTTAGTAAGTTTACCATATTCTTTCTGAGCTCTGGGATGGCTGGTTCAACTCAACTGTTCTGGCTCAAACTCCTCTCGCAGCTGACTTATTCAATCCAACTTTTTCTTGGATCCTGAATTTCTCTGCTTGGCCTCCAACTAACTCCAGCAATTTGCTCTAATCTCCTACCTCCTTCTGTCTTCACCTGTGTTCTCTCTTTCTACAACTCTATTACTGTCCTGGTAAAACTGCCTCCTCTCCTCCCTCCCTCCTTCTTCTTCTCCCCACCTCCAACCCCCATTGAGTAGCTTCCCTTTTCTCCCTCTTCTCCTCAGAGTTAGGCATATCCTACTCTATCAAATCTTTCTCTGATTCATCTTTTCTGCCACTCAATTAGACGTCACTTTGAAACATGGATGCTTTCTTCTGCAAACTAACATTACCTACCTTCTTTGGGATTAAAGGCGTGTACCAGCACACCTGGACCTAAGCTTTTCTTTACCTGAAACTTGCTCTATACTAGGCTGGTCTTGAACTCAGGTCTCTTTGCTTCTGTCTCCTAGATTAAAGGCATGTTTTTATTTCAGCTGGATTACACAGACCTAAAAGGATATGATCTCTTGCCATAGCAGCCATGATCTGAACTAAAATTCTTTTACAAGCTATAGTCAAAATAGTAATATTTAAAACTATCGTCTTAGTGTAGTTTTTTGTTTTGTTTTGTTTTTTGTTTTTTTGCTGGTGTAAAATATCAGAACAGGTAATTTGGTAAATGTTTATAGCTTTCATAAAAATTCATATATACAAAGTAATACAAAACCCACATGTGGACATTGTTAGTGCATATTAATTTCATAAAATAATAGGCTTCATTTTCATATACATATGTAACATAATTTGACTGTATCTACTCCCTATTACCCTTTCCTTTCCTCTCCTCTTTCCCGGACCCCCTTCCTCTTCTCTACTACTTTCTTTCCCCCTCTCCTTTTTCTAGGTTCAGGTAGGAATATTTTCCCCCACATAGACCTTTTGGTTTTTTGAGATAGCCCAAGCTGTCTGAAATTCTCTATATAGCTGAAGATAACCTCTGACTCCTGAGTGTCCTGCCTCTACCATGCGCAGCGCTCACATGGATATTCTTAACTTCACAGTTTCCGATTTATTGAACCTGAATTTTTATGGTGTAGCTCGGTGGCAAAGTATGTACTTAGCAAGCTCAACACCCTATATTCCATCCCCAGCACCAAACAAATAAAAGAGATGGTCCCTTCCTCAGCTGTGAAACTAAACTCTGCATACACGCAGGTCCAGGGCACTTCTGTTACTCATGACCCATTATCCTATTTAACGAAATGCGTGTGGTTTTTTTTTTTTATAACAATGATGTTATCGATACTCCAGATATATAAGACATTGTGTTGCACTCTCTAACTGTGGAGCTTGTGTGTGAACCCAAGTGTGGAACAGCAAAATAAACACATCACAAACTGATATGAAACATCGGGAACCTAGGATGCATTCCAGAAGAGGGTTCTAAATATATACATATATATGTCTAGATCCATTCATTTATTATTTTCAGTGGTTGGGGATTAAACCCAGGCCTCATCCGTGCTAGGTGAATATCCAGCCACAGAATAACACATCCACCTTAATTCTTTTTAAGTTACAGCCTCATAATTCTAAAAGTAACAGAATCACATTCTCCACACCTTTTGGGGGAGGGGAGGTTGGTTTTTTTGAGACAGGGTTTCTCTATGTGGCCCTGCCTGTCCTGGAAATAGCTCTGTAGACCAGGCTGGCCTCCCAAAAGCTGGGATCAGAGGCATGCACAAACACACCCCGCCTAATCTCCATGCCTGTAAAAGACAATTTAGCTGTAACCTTGCCATTTTAACAAAACTACTGCTATCATTTATTTTTTTATTCACATTTCCTATTGATTTTTTAGGTTGGATTCTAAGAAACAGAATTACTAGTTTAAATATTTTACTGTTTTAACTAATTTTCCAAATATAAATCTTGAAGGGGGAACTTTCAATCAAATTTAAGCTGATTCCTTACATTGATTCCAGAAGTAGAAAAAGGTGAAAAAGGACTTGTATGACTCTAGCTATATAATTAAATAGCAAAGCCAGCTGGGTGTGGTCAGTCACACCTGGAGGTCAGTTGGCTTGGATGTTGTAACAAAGGTCTGTCTCAAAAATGAGGGAAAATAATAAAAGGGAAAACCAACGTATATCCCCACTGTTAATATATGAGTCTCCAAGACATCACATTCCTATGGTCCCATTATGTAGCCCTGGCTGGCCTGGAACTGGCTATGGAGACTAAGCTAGCCTTGCATCCATGAGATCTGCCAACTTCTGCTAGGAAAAGGGGTGTGTGTGTGTGTGTGTGTGTGTGACCTTCTAGGAACATTTTACACAGCCTTTTAACATCGACAAATTTGATAGCTCCTCCCCAATTCTTGTATTTCCAGTTATTTCTTTTTATGAGTCACCTACCCTATCAACAAAGCTCTCCTAATCAGCTACTCTCTTACCAAGCTTTAAAATGTCCCTTAAAATGCTGCTGAAGTTTTGCTACCACATAGTCAATGATGTTTGCGCCCTCAGCACTTTCTTCAGGAAGGTTCTGGACTGTGACGTTAGAGGAAGGCATAATTCCATCCTGTTTGGAAGACATTCCTCCATGAATGTTTGGAACTGCCTGAAGAAGAAGAAAGATTACAGAATAAAAAGTTTTTCAAATCTAGCATATGTTCAATATTAATAACATAAGCCAACCAAATGGATCAGCAGGGAAGTGTGCTTGCTGCCAAGCCTGATGATCTCAGCTAGGTCCCTGGGATCCACGTGATGGAAAAAAAGAGCCCACTCCCAAAAGTTGTCCTTTGACTTCCACTCACATAAGGACACCACCTGTCCCCAAGAGAAGTCAGAGAACCCAAGTGAGCTGCTGAAGTGTTTAATGAATACTATTGTTTGTTTTACAGACATTAATGTGGAATGCCAAATTTTGTAATTTTTCTAGGGAATGTAAGGTTTTGGTTTTATGTGTGATTTGGCAAGAAGCAATTGTCTCTCTCTCTCTCTCTCTCTCTCTCTCTCTCTCTCTCTCTCGCCCCTTTCCCCTCTCTCCCTTTCCCCCTGCTTTTGTTTTCTTTGATTTGGTTTTGAAAAGGGGTCTCACTATATATTCAGGGTAACTTCAGTGTGCCTCACCTCTGAAGGCCACACCTACAGGCATGTGCTACTACATCTGGCTTAGTTCCTCTCAATAAATTAACAAGTGCATATAATGTCTTTTTAACCATTTTAATGGAACTAAACTTTAAATCCAACTTGATATAACATTAACAGAACTATTTTTAAAAATGTTTTCCCATAAATTCCTCTATCAAAAACATAAAGGGCAAATTAAAATAACAAATTTAATAATTCTATTTTTGTTTGGTTTTGGGTTTTTTTGGTGTTTGAAAAAGGGCTTATATAGTTCAGGCTGGCTTTGGACTTCCTACGTAACTGAGGAGTACTCTGAACTCCTGATCCTCCTGTTTCCATTTCCCAAGTGCTATGATTTTCAGCTGCATGCCATCATGCTTGGCTGCAATTCTGGTTTATAAAGGAATATCTGTGTCCTATCTACTTACTGTCCTTTCAGTAAATCTAACAAATAAATGCCATAAACATCTGTGCCTAGTCTAACACATAATTAATTGTATAGTAAACAACTATAAAAACTATAAATAAGCAAGGGGTATAACTTCTTTATTTGTTATAATTTGTGACGTTCAGACAGAAGGCTTCAACACTTGCAGGTCTATGATTTGCACTTTCTTTACACGATGAAATAAGAGCTGCTTTGAGAAGAATAGCTTATATAAGCCATTCTTTCGTTTATCAAGGTAGCTGAGCCTACCAATTCTGTTGGGGTGGGGGGAACCCACACTATTTCCCATCAGGCTTCTTTCTAATGCTCACTCTGTGTGAGCAGTCTTCTGTGCTTTCATCTGAAAACTGGGGAATGGAGTACTATTACCTTCTATGGTTTAGATGTGATTTATCCCTTCCAAAGCTCACGCTGGAACTTGATTCTCTGTAATGTTACTGAGAGCTGTTGGGGCCTTTATGAGGGGACAAGGCTCACTGCAGTGAGTTCCATCTCCAAGCCCCAGTTACTCTTAAGCACAGGCTGTAGGCTGTGAGGAGGCACCTCCCCCTTTACCAACGCCTCAGTCTCTCTCATACAAGTTCTATTTCCATTCTGCTGGCTGTTCCTTCCTGGCACGCACAGAGCACCACACGACTCACTCCAGAAGCTAAGAAGCTGATATTGGGCTTTCCAGACTCCAGAATTGTGAGGTAAATAAGACCCTTTTCTTTAAAAAAATTTTTTTTGCTTACTCTTCCATTTCCCCCTTCCCTTCATCCCTTTCTTTGTTTTTATCCATCTACCTCATGACCTGCCCAGATGGAGCCCAGATCCTCAAACATGGGAATGAGGTGAGGCAATCTTGTTATACAGCCCTACCTAGTCTGACACCTGTTATATAGCCCAGATTGGCCCTGAACTCTCTGAAATCTTCCTCCCTCAGCTTCTAGGCTACTGAGATTATAGGTGTGTACCACCATACTAGGCTTGTTTTGATTTCTTGAGACAGTCTTCCACAGCTGAGGCCAGCCTTAAACTCCTGATCCTCTTGCCTCTACGTCTTAAGTGCTGAGAAGAGTGCAGACATTTACCTCAAAGCTTAACTTTAAAAAAAAAACCTGTTTGTTATGAGTAGCTAAGCTTAGTTTTCAAACTATGCATGGCTTACAATTTGAATGTTGACAAAGAGCAAAATGTCAGATCCCCTAAAAACAGGCTGAGGTTCCAACATGAGCTGACTGCTAAAGAGATGCTCCCAGGTGAAACCTTTAAGGGGATTAGTGAAGCAACCTGGAAAAGGCGGGAAGGGCATTGCCAAATAAGAACATTGCTGCAAGGCATTGATAGCTGCACCTAGATCCACCATAGCATTCTGAATCACAGTCGGTGGCTAGAGCAGGAGTGGGTAATAGGGCACTGTGGTAGCAAACCTTGATGTCAACTTGATTATAGCTGCAGTCAACTAAGAGACATGCCTCTGGATGAGCCCGTGACAGTATTTTCTGGATAGATTACTTGTATGTGGCACCATCCTGCTGCCACCCTCTTATAAAGAGATCAGAGGAAAAAGCTGTGGCTCTTTGCCGCCCGCCTTCACTCCTTCCTGGTGAGTGCGTCTGCTATGCTGTTGCTGCTGCCGCCACAGCTGCTATCCTCTGCTGCTCTCACAGCCCAGCTTCTTTAGCTTCCAATGTGGACCAATGACTCTCCAGGAGTCCTCCATGATTTCAACACTAGAGAGGGGTTGTTGCTGAGGCTTCTTAGCCTAGTGGACTGAGTAGCTGCTGGTTCTCGGCCTCTTGAATATACAGACCACCGTTGTCAAACTACCTAGTTCCTATCGTGTAAGTCAGTATAATAAACCCCTTTGTAATATTTTATTTCACTCTATCAGTTCTGTTCCTCTACGGAACATCACATATTGCACAGAGCGTTGTTGCACTGTTAGTTGCTATGCCCTGTATGTTTTGTAGCCAGGTTCTTTTAAGGACCCTTCCACCCGTGCTAACCCCACTGGAATTAATGTAGCACTTTGGTTTACTTAATTGTGCGTGGTCATAGGCATGCATGGCTGAGGACGAAGTCAGCCAGTTTTATGCAGCACAGAGTGAGCAAATGTGGGAGTCACAGCACAGATGCAATTTAAGATGACAGCATAATTTAGATGATATTTAGTTTAAAAACATTTTATATCTATTTTATGTTCTGTGTTATGGGTGCTTTGCTCACATTACATCTGTGTACTAAGTGCTTTGCATGCTTGGTGCCTGAGGAGGTCAGAAGAGGGTGTCAGATGTCCTAGAACTGGAGTTATGGACAACTGTGAGTCACCATGTGCTTCCTAAAAGTCAAACTTGGATCCTCTTCAGGAACAACAGGTGCTCTTAACCACTGAGCCACCAATATTTAATTCTTCAGACCTGATACTACTTAATCCATAAGTTGACTGGTGGTGGTCTGAATAGGTATGTCCCCATAGACGCATGTGTTTGAATGCTTGCCCATATGGAGTGGCACTATTAAGTACAGCCTTGTCGAAGAAAGAGTGTCACTGTGGAAGTGGGCTTTGAGGTCACAGATGCTCCAGCTACACCCAGCGTGGCACACACAGTCTCCTCTTGCTACCTGAGGATTGAGATATAGAACCTTCAGCTCCATGCCTGCCTGGACGCTGCCAGGCTTCCCACCATGACAGTATTGGACTAAACCTCTGAAAAGGTAAGGCGGCCCCAATTAAATGTTTTCCTTTATAAGAGCTGCCTGGGTCATGTTGTATCTTCACAGCAATAGAACACTAAGACAGTGACTTAGTTTATTGTATCAAAAAGAATTAAGTGCTATGATTTACTTTTTTTTTTTTTTTTTTTTTTTTTTTTTAGTAACTAAGGAAATGCACTAGCTTTACAAGCAAACATTTTAATGTGGATTCCATTATTCCCATCTTAGTGAAAAAACTGAGGCCTAGAAAGGTTAAAGACCTTTTCTAGTATTTCTCAGCTGTTAAGCTTCAGAGTCTAATTTTAAAATTTTTGTTTATGTATATGGGTGTTTTGCCTGAATTTATATCTGTATATCACATGCATGCCTGGTCCCTAAGAAGGCCAGAACAGAATATCACATCAGGAAAACTGAAAACCTGAACATCGAACCTGGGCTCTCTGAAAGATCAGAAATGCACTTAGCTGCTGAGGCATCTCTCTAGCTGCTGGTGTCCAATTTTGAACTTTACCTAAAACTCTTCTCTCTTAAAATCTATTAGTTTAGGGTTGTCACTATTAGCTATAATCCTGTTTCTATGAGAAGAATTAGTCAATGTAGATATAAATTCATTTTGCATTTTATGGCCTCATCCCACTTCAGTACAGGACCCAGAAATGCTAGGTGAATCCACCAATAAGCTACATTTATAGCCCTTTAAAATCTTTTGTGTTGTTTTGAGACAGGGTCTTACTTAAGTTGTCTAGGCTGGCAAAGAACTCACTTTGTAGCCCATTCAGACCTTGAACTAAAATCTTCCTACCTCAGCCTTATGGGTAGCTGATGTAAAAGATGCGGGCAGGGGGCTAGAGAGATGGCTCAGCAGTTAAGAGCACTGAGTGCTCTTCCAGAGGACCTGGGTTCAATTCCCAGCACCCACATGGCAGCTCACAGCTGTCTGTAACTCCAAGCTCTGACACCCTCACACAGACATACTTGCAGCCAAAACACCAGTGCAATAAGATGTGAGCCACCACGCACAGCTTTCTAGACCATGAAGCACACACTGGGTTAAGTGGGCTTGGGTACAGCCACAATGGAGCAATGTGTATTCTTCTCCAGCTTATTTTCAAATTCGGCTGTAATCAGTTAGTAACTAGCAAAATAGAGGTAGCACATGCCATTTCTGCTTGGAGTTCCTTACCTTTGTTGAATTAAAGATGCCCCCCATCACTGTGTTATGGCTTGCCAGTAGAGACACCCATCCAAACTGCTCTCGCATCTTCTCCATCAGATACGTGGTGTCTTCCAGATGATACTGGGCCATCCGGATAACCTGATCATATTGCTGACTGGATACATTGACTAATTTCAGGGCCTCAAGGAATTCTATGTGTAGTTCAGGTACATCAGGGCAGTCTAGCAAAGAGGTAAAGAAACAGGGAAGAAAAGGTCCGGGAAACTTGTAAGTGGTTGGCTTGGCCTTAAGACCCATAGTTCTTAATTAGTGTTTGTTGTCTGTGGTAATATTACCGATATCACTTTCAAATGAGACCTGGCTTAATTAATTGCTAATTATATGGTTTTATGGAGCAGAAGTGGGTGGATAAGGAAAAGACCGTCTTGTCAAAAGTCTCACATGCTTACTGCCCATATTTTAAGGGGGGGGGCAGTGCTTGAGGTGTGGCTCAGGACTATACCACTTGCTGGGCAGTGCAAAGCCTGTTGCCTGTTAGCCCTTTCCTCCAAAACTTTGACTAACGCAGAAGCCTCTGATTTGTCCCTTCCACAGCACATTCTCTCCCTCCCATCAAAGAGGGAAAATTATTTTTTCTATAGAAAAGACACAATGAATGCATTATTTGGAATGGCTGCCACAGGCTAGCTATAAGGTAGTGAAGCAAAAGCTTATTAAAACTTTTTATTGATTCCAGTCCAGCTCATTTCCCCTTATATCTTTCCCTTTCCATAGAAACCTCCCTCCCAAATTAAACACACACACACACACACACGAACAATAACAACAAAAAACAAAACAGAAGACATCTCATCGTAGAAGCTGTGCTATGTCACAGCGTGTCCCACAGTATAGCCCTCTGTCCACACAAATGTTGCAAATGTTCTTAGCAAGGAGTCCTTGGTCTGGTCCAGGATCTCTGGCCTCTGTGACACCATCTATACTGGATCCTCGGGAGGACTCCTCCCAGTTATCTTGTTGTTGTCCTGTGTCATGGAGATCCTGCAGCTTTGGAACAGCAGGACTGGCCCTTTCACAAGTCCCAATTGTTTGAAGATGATAGAGATTTTGGGGTGGGCTGTCTCAGAGCCCTGGAGCTGGCCAGTCCACCAGTTCTCCCTAATCCACACCACAAAGGTGAACTCCCCAGCACTGCTCTGGCTAGGCAACCCAGTGTTGCCATCAGCAGGAGACAGGGTCCCACGCACGCCTCCAGAGCCAACTACACTATGCTGCCCAGTCAAGGCAGCCCACTCTCCCAAGTGCTGCAGTGAGAGGCTGGGACAACTCTCCCGCTCTCGCACCCTTGAGGCCAGCTCTCCACAGTGGGCTATAGCCAGTGAGGGGTCAGGGTTACCTGACTACAACAGATGGCACCCACAACATCTCATGACAGACGAGTAGCAGGGCCAGCTCTCCAGAGCTCTTGCCCTCAGGGCCTGCTCACCTGTGCCCCCTCCACCAGGGCCAGCTACTGTTATTTGCTTTTGTAGAGACGGGGTCTTTATATAGCTCAGGCTGAGTTCCAACTCTTGATTCTCTAGCCTTAGCTCCCTAGGTGCTGGGTTCTAAGTGTGTGCCACCACGCCTAGTTCATAAGTAACATTTTAAGTCAAAAATTATAATTTGTGGATATAAAAATTTAAACATAAAACACTGTTAAGTATGGTATATGTATGTGTGTATGTATACATGGATATAGTTTATGAGTAAGTATGTAGAAGTAAATACTAAATCTAAATTTGCCATTTGCATCTTCTTTTTTGAGATACAGTTTCACTATGTAGACCAGGCTGGTCTTGAACTCACAGAACCCCACCAGCCTGTGTCTCCAGAGTGCTGAGATTAAAGGCCTGAGTCACCATACCTGGCTGCTGGCTTTGAACTCTTGCTCTTCCTGTGTTGGGGGCACCACAGGTGTGCGCTGTCATGTAATTCTAGGGATGGAACCCAGGCTTTTGTGCATGCAAGTCAAGTGCTCTACTGAGCTCCACCCTCAACCCTCTGTTTCCTTTATTTGCTTGGGGCAGGGTTTTATTAAATGTCTTTACAGAGCAATCCAGCCTTCACATGCAGCTGGCAGGACTCTGTAATACCAGTAGGCATGAGCTGGGGCATGGCAGGTGGCCCTGGCTCCCTCCATTTCCTTTTGAGGGAATAAAAGGAATGTGATCTGGATGAGTGACACAGTTAGGTTTCATCTGCTTTCATAATATTTAATACTTATGTAAATGGTGGATACATGGAGTTTTGTTATGCCCTTCTTTACATTTTAAAAACAAATTGCTTTTTAAAAAATGTTTTAACAGTGTGGTAGTCACATTGGGACATCTGTTTTCTTATATTTTTACCTTGTCACAATCAACTTACATTACACTTATACTGTATTACCTGACATATGTCATATCTATTAACTAATTGCTATAGTTTGTATCTAGAATGTTTTTTTTGAAGACCTATGTGTTAAGTCTTAATCCCTAGCCCAGAAGTTGTGGAAACTTTTTAAGGTGGGGCCTAGAAGGTCTTTAGGCCACTGAGCCTAAAGGACCCTTCTTCTTCTTCGTTGTCCTCCTCTCTCTCTCCCTCCTTTTTTCTTCTCATACATGACGCTCTTTCACCATGTTAGGTCACCATCACAAGCCTAAAGCAATGGGCCCAAGCAATCACTGACTGAAACCCCCATTTATGTGAATCAAAACAACTCTTTCTTCTCTGTAGGGTAATTTATCTAAGTTATTTTTAATGCTAATGTGAAGTTGGCACAGTGACAGAGAGTAGTTATGAGATACATTTATTCTATCTGACTTATTTTATTTGAGACAATCAAGGAAAAAATTACTGATTAGTCCTTTAGTAGGTGGAAGGAAATAGAAGTAAAAAGTGTCTATATGGGGTTCCTGAGCGGGATGGCTTTTGAAAGTTATCAGTTCACTAGTTCATACCGTGCATATGTGCGGGGAGCAGTTTGCACTCACGTCATGAGAAGCCAGGGGTCAGTCTCAAGTGTCATCCTCGGGAGCCATCTACTTTCTTTTGTTATTTTGTTTTGAGACATGGCCTTTCACTGGACCCTGGGCCTTGCTAATTATGTCAGGCTGGCTGGCTAGTGAGCCCAGGGCTCCACTCTCTCCATTTCACCAGTTCTAGGGTTTTCACTATGCCTGCCTTTTGCATGGTTTCTGGAGAATACACTCAGGTTATGCTTGCATAGCCATCACTCTGCTAACTGAGCAATCGTCTATTCTGTACACAACCCTGCAAATGACTTTTTAAATGCTTGAATAATGAAAATCACTGATACTTCAGGCCACTTATTTAGTGCTCAAAACACTTGTATGAAGTGGATCTGTTGTCCCCATTTTCAAATGATCAAACAAGCAGCTAATTCACCCAGTCAACAATTCAGGAGGAAAAAAAACCTCAAGCAGCTTTAGGCAGCTAAAGCTCCAGGGATGTGGAGCACAGTAGTTTATAAACAAAACCACAAAAAATACTATCTTCCAAAAGTTCTCCTACCAAGACAGATTCCAGATATCAAAAACTTCTGACATGTTCTAAGGTTGGGTGGACATATGGTTGAAGGGGCATGTAGAGAGACAATATCTTCATTCTTGTTCCGGAGCCCAAGAAACCTGCCATTTGCAAGCTCAGTGCACCTGAGAACTGAGAAATCAGAGTCTAGGCTAATAATAATAAGCAAAAGGGAAAAGGAGGCATTACTAATACTTAAGAGGCTTAAAACTAGCCAAACACCACACAGGTGCAGTCAACAAACTATTAAAAGCATCTTTTTCTTATTAGTTGAGCACAGTATTAAAAACCTCACCCTTCTTGAATTGCAGAGTATGCAAATGCTCAGAACATCTACAGTGCATTAAGTTACAAGAGGCAAAGATGTATTTCATTAACAGAACATTAATCTGTAAACATAGTTTACAGAGCTTGGTGTTTGGGTTTTTTGCTTGTTTTGCTTTTTTTTGGGGGGGGGCGTGTTTGTTTGTTGAGATAGCATCTCATGTAGCCCAGTGTGACTTTGAACTTATGAAGCTAAGGCCAGTCTTGAACTCCTAATTCTTCTACTTCCACCTCCTGGATGCTCAGATTATAAACATATAGTACTGTGGAAGGCTTAGCAGGGTGAGAAATAGAGACTGGTTCTGATATTTTTGTTTTTGTTGTATGACTCTGGCCCAGGACCTCCGGCATGCCCCTAACTATATCCTCTATCCATGCTGTGTAATTAAATACTACACTGAAAAGTTAAATAAATTTGAGAAATACTTTATATAAGTGTCATCATTATTCAGCGTATACGTATTTTTATGGTAAAAAAATTTTAAAACACTCATCCTGCTGGATGCAGTGGCACACACCTGTAATTCCAGCACTTGGGGAGGCAGAGGTAGGTGGACCTCTGTGAGTTCGAGGCCAGCCTGGTCCACAAAGTAAGTCCAGCACAGCCAGTGCTACAGAGAGAAACCCTGTCTCGAAAAACAAAAACAAAAAAGACCTGGGATAGGGGCCATTCATGTGAGATTTGGTTTAAGAGCCGATTTCCTGGGGCTAAAGAATCAGCTTTGATTAACAAGAGATCAGTGAAATTGTCTGTTTCATTGGGACAAAAAAAAAAAAAAAAAAATATATAAAATTATATATTTATAAATTAAAAAAAATATATATATATATATATATATATATATTTTTATATATTTTT